ATTTTTAGACACATTTTTTTCTCTCTTTTTTTTTCGGTTCCCATGAACCTTATTATAGACGCCGCCGCCTCGGGGTCGACTGCCGCCACATTTACGGTAGTCTTCGATCCTTTGAAGATGAGCGCGGCTAATATGGCGCAGATCACCTGCTTCGCGTCGCTGAACACGGTGCTTGCTTCCAGCATGCCGTTGAGTTCGCCGCCTGCTGCTGCCTATGTCCGCGCAGCCCACCTTCTCCGCGTCGCTGACCACGGTGCTTGCTTCAAGCGCGCTGTTGAGTTCGCCGCTTGCTGCTGCAGACATATATTCTCATAGAGATCTTATTGTCAAAGATGTGCCTTCTAATCTTCCGCTCACGGATATATTTACTAAGAGTTTTTTTTTAGTTTGCAATTTCATTTTTTTAAAAGACAAACTGCGCGTTGTATCTCCCGCACAGTTTGAGAGGGTGTAATAGGCTAATATAATTAGGAATCTACCTAATAGATATTTAGGAATCTGCCTAATATCTATTTAGGAATACTTTGTATTTTGGCAACTCTTCTATTATAAATATATCTGTCAGGACTCCTATTGAAGTACCTCTTTCCCATTATTTCACACTGGCATCCCCACACGCCACCTACCATCGCTGCCTGGTAGTCTACCTATCACCTTTCAGCTTTCTGGGAGTTTTGGCTGCCTTCTGCAATTGTGCTAATTGTTCCAGCAGCCCCAGCGGGTAAGTTGAGTGTTTATTCTTTAATTATTTATTTTTTTATTTCCGTATCTAATAGCTTGAAATTAAAATCTTGATTTTTGAGTGTTTGACTGTTTCAGTCTTTATGTTTTTTACTAACTAGATTTCCACCCGTGCGATGCACGGCCCATATTATCATAGAGTTATATGATACTCCCTTCGTCCCGGAAAATTGTTCTCGCATTGACTTGGAACGGAGTTTAAGAAAGTGGGAATAAAGTGAAAATGTATGGTTGTGGTTGAGTAAGAAAAAAGTAAATGAATTGTAGCCACAAAAAACTTTCCAAAAGGGGAAAGGGGAACAATTTTTTGGGACGGCCCAAAAAGGAAACAGAGAACAATTTTCAGGGAAACAGGGAACAATTTTCGAGGGAGTATTATTTATTAACTTTATTAGTGAATGTGTATATTATATTATTTATACACATGTAATATATATGAATAATAAAAAGTAATTCTAAAGGTAAGTATATTTATCACTCATTGTTGTACGATTTGTATATTAGGATAAGGAGGGAGAAACGATGCATATAATAAGATTCTGAATCACTGGTTTGTAAGCATTTGGAGCATACAATGAAATAGGCTAAGACTAAACATTTCGAAAGAGACAGACTGTAAACAACTTTTGTAGTACGTCGGGTCATTGATAATATTCTCAAAGTCCGGATAGGTGCTTTTTACAATTGTAGCAATGAGATCGTTCCCACGCTCTAACCATTGGCAAAACCATCATTATCTTCACCCTCCGCACTATGATTATTTAAACACTTTTAAAACATTTTTAGATTTATTTTGATACTATTAAAAGAAAAATAATCATTCAAAACACTTATTGAATTTTTTTGATAGCACAGTTAAACCTAACAAAATCATGCATTCAATATATGTACACAAATGTGAAAAATCTATTAAATTTCAGACCCAAATCATTCGGATCCAACATAACCTTTACTAAAATTCTCCATCCAGCCCAAATCCATTAAATTTAAACCCGTCCAGCCCAATCTATTATATTTTAACCTACCCAACCCAAACCCTAATTATAAATACCCTAATTATAATCAATTCATCGTTCCACCTACACATCTCCTCTAACACGCCACTCTAACACCCTTTGTTTTCGATTTATTGTTCAGACAAACGATTGTGTCCATTGCTTGCACATCCACATCCCAGCTTGAACGACCGTCGTGACCACCGACCGGAGTCTTTCACTCTGTATTTCCGTTTTACACCGACCGACGTCAACCTTGTTGGTATAATTTTTAGCTTATTTTCAGTAGATCTGTATTATATAATCCATATACTCCCCCATCCCTAAATTTTTACATCTTTGGTCATGACTAATCTGAAACATAGAGTTTCTGTACTTTATTCATCTGGTGGTTAATGACTAATCTCTGATTATTTTTCTGAAAATACACGCAAAAACTATTGATCTAAAGACTAAACACTCTAGATCTAGCATTTTCAGTACAGATCTCTATTAATGTGAGATTTTGTATTTATATTTATATATATTATTTCAAATTATACGATTATCCCAATAAAATACATGTTTGTATATATATAACATATTTATACAAATAGATCTGTCTTGATACATGAAATATGGTTCGGATCTATCTTAATATAAGATACTTATGCTTAATATGAGATATTTGATATATATTTATTGATATATTTATTTTTACATATTTGTATGTTGGTTTTAATACTTATTCAATACTGGCTTCAGTCTATATTTTTTTAAAACCAAGTTGTCATAGTTATATAAAACACTATGATTATACTGATTTGGATCAACACCTAGTTTTTATAAGTCGTCAATCATACATACAGTCATACTTGACTTGTATGTACGTATATCAATCCTTATTATTGTCAGTAGCACTTAATAATAAGGATTTTAACCAACTTGACTGAGTTCAACACTTAATTTTTAAACTAATCTATCATACATCTTTAATACTTGCTTTGAATATTGTATTCAAGCACACTATGTTTTAAAACTAAGGTGTGATACTACTTCCAAACTTTATTACTTTTTAAAACCGAGCTGTCATACACTTCCTTATATAAAACCCTGTGATTAAAATATTTTGGATAAATTAAACACTATCTTTTTAGAAGGCATAATCCTTTGGTTAAATCAATAGTACTTTACCAAGGTCTTGATATATTATGTTAATATCAAATATGCTCAACTAATATAAGATGTACATATTATGCATGTTCTCCGTATATTTTTTTAAAAGTAATCATTTATTCTTTGAAAACGGTTTTGATTTTATTAAAATATTTGTTGCCAAGCTGCTTCCTCAGTACTTCATTCCCTTTCAATACTAATTTAGAAAATAATTATTTTGATTTTTTAAATATTGTCCCATTAGGTTAAGTTTTGGCAAAAACCAAAACAAACTGTTTTTCATTTTCAATTTCTCTTCGTGCTGCAATATTCCATTACTACTTATTCTCCATATCATATGTGTGATATAAATACAAATATATTTTAACATAATATTATCTTTTTATATTGCAGGTGCAATTCACCAAGATTAATTCGACCACCATACATGGATGCGGTTGCCCTGAAAATTAAAAAAAATGTTAGAACATTAAAACATTTTTTATTTAACGACCAAGGAGAAAATCATTTCCAAAACAAAAATAATATATACCTCATCATGAAGCACCATCTCGAAAGTGCTTCTTCCTCTGGCATGGGCAGCCACTTCGTAGGCCCGTACTTCGCGAACTCGCACTACCCAGGTCGTCTTTGTGGGGTCAATCTTGCTAATGTTTGACCATAGTCCATTTGCATTTGTGCTCTCAGCCATTGTTGCTCTGTGACCTTAGTAGCCAAATAACTTGATGATATGGTGTGTTGTGGTGTGGATTGCTATGAAAGTTCCCTATTTATAGTAGAAGATGGTTGTAGTAAGGCTTGTATTGCGTTGGTAGCCCAAATATTTTATAGACTGCTGAGATATCTGTTGGATAAAAGATTAATAGATTGCTGAGACAGATCACATTTAATGAGTTTCCCATTTCCGAAACAATACCAACTACCCAAGTCATAATTTCAATTTGTGATCTATATTTGGAAAATCAGTCAAACCGAAGTAATTGCTTCTTGTGGTGGTTGAGTAAAGATGCTCTTTCGTCAGTTGCATTTAATGGATCATCACTATTTTTGTTATCAAATAAAGCAAGTATTTTGTCAAAAATATTTTTTAGCTATAAGTTACATATTCGGCCATACTGCAATTCCCAATGCAAATATGCTCTTAAGATTTCGAATACAATATAGGACGGTGCATTTAATGACCTCACCCAACTTCCTTGACCCCACTTTGAACCCGTTCATTACCTTTGACCCGACCCACTTTTGCCTTGGACTTTAGGCGGGAAAACCATCTGGTTTTCCACCTCTTTTTATATAGAGGTAGATATGAATTTGTAAAAATGTAAAATGTCTATTTTTTTTTACTATTGGTGAACAATTTGTGTCATTGTGTATTTTGCAATTTCATTTGTGAAATTGAAAATTAGGATTGTGAATTTAATAACATATTAACAAGAATTATATGATTGAAAATCACTAGCCCGTTTGGTAGCACTGAAATTGGCTGAATAGGTTGATTCTGCTGAAATATATGAAGTTCTGGCTGAATTTGTGTGGATTGGCTTGGCTGATTATGTTGATTTATGAAAAGATTATATTTAAAATATTTTTATTAATAAAATAAAGAAAAAATTAAATGAAAAATAGCTAAAATGATCCTTTATACGAAGTAGTAATTTCAACCTATACAGTCAGAATAATAACTCCAACCTCACTTTTTCTTATTATTACCCAATTCAGGGCGCGAAATCAAAAGCTAATCGTTTGGTAAAAAAGTTGGCTGACAACCTCATAAGAAGAAAACAGTGTTACCAAACAGGCTTTATATATTAATTATTTATTACGTAGTATTGTTTTGTGAATTTAATTAGGTGACTACCCAATCTACTTAAAAACGTAAAAATAACATTGCATTCGTTTTTAAGTGTAGTACAAGTATAGAAAACATACAAAAGTTAATTAATTTTCATGTGTACTAAAATGGGAATTAGACATTTCCGATTAACCTCAAATTCCAAACATTTTTCGATTTCACTCGGAACTAGTGTATTTTTTTTATCTAACCATATCATGTTGTATTTCGTACCGTTTCAAACATTTACGTTTTCACTATGTTTTAATTATTTACAGGGAAATCATGAATTCATGCATCAATATTGGAAAGTTGCTTGAAAGCCAGAAAGAAATCCCCGCCTGAAAAGTCCTTCAAATTGTGACCTTTTGGTTCACCCTGAAGAGTGAAGAGTAATGAACACATAACAAGGGTCAATTGTTCTTCTCTGGATGAATACTTGCTTGTTTGAGTTGTATTTTGTTTTTGAATGAATGAATATATACTCCAGGGTCAATGATGATTGATTCAGTCAATGACATTACTAAATTGAAAGTTATGAGTTTCCGTCTAGATAAATAGATGTGTTGATGCCTACTGAACACAATACAAACGAAGATGGATATGAAGAAGAATATCAACCCATCTTCAGCCAATTCCCACAGGCGTCTTGTTCTGAAATACGCAATCACCTCGAGACTAATAATAGTTTTCTTAATACTCCTCTGGCGATGTCTTCTTAGCCCCTATGACACCTCAGCTTCCATAAACCCTAGCTGCCTTCTTTCTGAATTGAATTCACACTCTCCGCCGGTTCTCCTCCCTCGTTTGGCGGCGGCAATTGAGGATAGCATTGTCTGGGACAGCGTATACTTTGTTCGGATTGCGCAGTGCGGATATGAATACGAACACTACTATGCATTCTTCCCTCTTCTTCCCGTTTCCTTATCCTTGCTCTCCAGAACAGGTATTTCTGCATTTATTATTTTCCAAGTATTATTTTTCAAATTAAAAATGAAAACTGATATTTTCCTGGTATTGATCTTCTCCAGCTTCACTGATTTTATTAATTATATTTATATGTATTTTTCTTCAGTTTTTTCCCCTCTTATACCAGTTATTGGACATAGGGCTGTTATTGGATTATCTGGTTATGTGCTCAATAACATTGCATTTGTCTTAGCTGCGCTGTTTCTTTACAGGTAACTATAGATTTGGCCAATGTGTGAAAATAACTTTTAAAGCTAATGTTATTAACTTGCACAGCTACTCAAATGGACTATTCTCTACTTCAATATGATTGCAGGCTTTCAATAGCTGTTGTGAAGGACTCGGAGCTAGCACTGAGAGCTTCAATACTGTTTTGCTTTAATCCTGCTTCCATTTTCTACTCATCAATGTATTATGTCTATACCTGAAACCGTTGGATCCTGTAAGGGTATGTTTAGATTCCGGAAAATTCCAGGGGAGGGAGGAATGCTATCAAATTTTTATTTTCTTGTGTTATGTTTCACTTGGAAAAGGAAATATGAATTACGTGATTAATGTTATCTATATGATCACTTGATCTTACATATTAGTATATATAACTAAGTAAATAAACATGATGAGTTTGAACACATTTTTTCCCATCCAAAATTTCACTATAGTTTCCTCCCTTTTTTCTTGCCTGGGCATTTTCCGTGTGCCTAACGGATCCTATGTTTTTCCAGGCAACACTGGAGAATTTTCAGAACTGAATACTTTATGCTTCCCATTTGTTTCTAGATATACTGAGAGCCTCTATGCGCTTTTTTCAATTGGAGGTTTATATTACTTCACTAGTGGTGCAAGAAATATTGCAACACTTTGGTTTGCTCTCTCTGGATTTTCAAGGTCAAATGGAATACTTAATGCAGGCTATATATGTTTTCAGACGATGCACTCGGTTTACACTTCTGCTGTTCTCCATAAAAGAGCGCCTGTAAGTGTTTCTATATGTCCATACACCCTTCTTAACATATTACTTTTTTTCATAACTTATTATGAATCAGAATAATTTGAACTATAGAAATACCGAGCAGTTAAATTTTGTAGTCAAACTGAATCTTGTATACCAATGTCAGTTTGCTTGGGATCTTCTTGTGGGTGCTTTGCGTAGCCTATGTGTGATATTCCCATTTATTGCTTTCCAAGCTTATGGATATTACAATATGTGCATGGGACAGTCTACAAGGCCATGGTGCAAGGAAAGGATACCTTTATTCTATGGTTATATCCAAGGTCATTATTGGTAAGTTTTGTTTCATTTTTCTTGCCAATATTCCTCACAACATGTTATTGCTTTTGCAGAGTGCTATTCTACAACTCTACAAGAATGCATATCTATGTAAATTTATGGTCATAAACCGTAGGCTTAGATATCTTTATCTTCCTGCATATTTTTCAAATACCTGCTTGTTTGGGTCTCTGTTCAAATTATTCTTATTCATCCCTGTAATTTACTTTATCTTCTTTTGGTCCTCTGCAAGTTTGCTTCAACATCTTTATAAAAAACTTTTGCAGCTCATAGAACTCCATTCTTTCTTTGCCACATCATTGTTTATAAAACCAGCTTAGTATTTTTTCAGAGGCCTAAATTGGAAGTGAGAATGGTGAGTTATGCTTAGCCACAACTTCCCAAATAGTCATTGATGAGTCACTGATAGTTGATGTTGATAGGGGCCATATTGAAGTATCTTTCATGTCAGTTTTTACTTGAGGTTCACGGGAAGGGACTGAAAAGAAAATAAGAAGTAAAATACTTGAGGTTCATGGTGGATATAAAAAACAAATTTGGAGGGACCTAAAACAAAAAAGAAAACATTTTACTCCATCTGCTCCGCTAAGATTGTCTCATCTTTCCTTTTCGGTCCGTCCCACTAAGATTTTCTCATACCAAATTTTGGTAAAATTTGTGTGGTTCTAAATCATTCCTACTTCATTCTTACTTTATCAACTCAATATCAACCGCATAAGTCCATTTTTCGTAATAAATGCACCACCTCCTCATGTCCCAATGTTTGTAGGATGGAGATAGTATTTGTTATGCGAGGAGGAAGGACGTATTTAGGATATTTTTAATTGAATTGAATTTGTTGTCTGTCCCGTTTAACCCGTTTAAGTCTGATATGGTCTAGTATTGTAGATGTTTGTTCCATTGTAGTTTGCAACTATCAAAGTCTGGTATGGTCTGATCTGGTCTTTTTAAGTCTGTTCTGGTTTGGTCTGTTTAAGTTTGGTTTGGTCTGGTCTAGGGCTGTTAACGAGCGAGCCGAACCCGAACACCCAAAGCTTGAATTCGGCTCGTTAAGGAATTAGTGGTGTTCGGGTTCGAGCTCGAAGCTCAGCGAGCTTTACAAATGAGGCTCGTGTTCGGCTCGTTAGACGTTCGATGTTCGAACCGAGCGCTCGATAAGCTCGATAAATATGCCCGAATTTAAAATTGTAGGTGATGCTCGTAAATAGGCTCGTGTTCGAAGGATTCGACAAGTATTTGGTTCGTTAATAATCATATTTAAATTCATAATATCATACTAATTATATTTAAAATTTGAAATATATATAAATATATTTAAAATTTCAGGGTGTTCGATAGGCTCGAGTTCAAACCAAGCCGAATACTACTATGTTCGAGCTCGGCTTGATTAATTTTTCGAACTTAAAAATCAGCTTGGGTTCGAGTTCGAAAGCACGTTAAGCTCGGCTCGTTACGTTTGAAACCAAGCTCGAACTCGAATAGTTCGATAAAAGCTCGGTTCGTTAACAGCCCTAGTCTGGTCTGTGATAGTGTGACTAAAACCAATCCATCGATTAAAAACATCCATAAGACTAAGAGCGTGCACAAAATGTGTGTTTCATGCTTTTCTTCCGAAGCTTGACAATAATCCACGATTACTTTCTTTCTTGTTTACAGGGGAGTGGGGTTCTTGAAATATTTCCAAACTAAGCAAATCCCTAACTTTCTACTTGCCTCCCCAATTTTATCATGTGCACTCTGCTCAATTATACATTATGTGAAGCTACAGCCAGAGGTGTTTTTCTCGTTGGGCTTCAGAAGAGCTTCTCCTCCTATGAGTAATAATAATGAGCAGAAGATTTCACCCTTTACTTATGGGTCAAATGCAGCTGGGCAAGAGGAGGTTGCTGATTTATTTGTGGAGAAAAATGATACCTTTCACAAAATTCAAGGTATCCATTTCCTTATGGAAATTGCCCTAAATAGGAGTAAAAACGTTTGAGTCTTAAAATAGGACTGTCATGTTTTTATTCTCGAAACAGGAGTAATTATTGTCATGTTTTGATACTGCCATACTTTAAACATGACAATATTTTTTAAACTTGGCAGTAATTACTCCTATTTAGGGAATAAAAACATGACAGTCCTATTTTAGAATTCCAAAACGTTTTTACTTATATTTCAAGAATTTCCCCTTTTCTTTAAGGTTTTACATTTTGAGACTATCTTTCTTACTGCCCATTGTGGCTAACTGAAAAACCTGAGGTCTACATTTTGAGATCGGCAACCTAAACACGATATATTTCTTGACCATCTTCGGCAAACTTACTAATGTGTGTGTTAGGTAGCGATCACGCTCTCAAACTACGGAAACAATACGCGGCTGTCAGAGGACATAATAATTCTGCAACAGAGAGTGGAAAACCAAATAATCACTTGGTGCCGACAACGGCAGGAGCTGTAATACCAATGCAGGTTCCTTTGGTTCTCCATCTCGGGTTCATGACTGCCACAGCTTTTCTCGTCATGCACGTGCAGGTGATCTATTTATGTGCACTCTTTATTTGTGTAAAACAAAGCCTCACAATAACGAAAATTAAAATAATTCCTCCCCTCATGGATGTACTTTATTTCACATGTATGCTTTGTCTTGAGTTCTTGATTAGCTAGCTGGTTGATGATATTTTTTGTTTCACACACACACAGGTTGCAACCCGCTTCTTATCGGCCAGCCCACTGCTCTACTGGTTTGGTTCATACTTGATGAAGCATGGCTTTGGGAAGAAGAGGCGGAGAGGCGGGTACTGCATTTGGGTTTATTGTTGGGCATACATCTTTCTTGGCACTCTTCTCTTCTCAAACTTCTACCCTTTCACTTAAAGCCTAAAAGGATTGGAGCCCCCCCCCCCCCCCCCCCCCACCACATACACACACAAAAAGAGGGAAAAAGGAAGATATGATGTGAGTATGTGACGTTGTGGCGGTCTGTGAGCTTTTGTCATATTTTAATATGGTTGAGAGGACAAAAAAGGGTGTACTACTAGTCTACTACTCATGCTGTCATGCAGTTATTTGATGCTTCATTTCGATACCACTGTTAAAGTGGTAAATCTAACGTTTATAGTAAGAACTAAGAAGTTACACCATAAAGTAATCGAGTGTTCAATATGCTAATTTTCGGTTTTCCCAAGATGACAGAACATATATGGACAAAGTTTATAAATTAAGACAATACTCCTTCTGTCCCCCTATGTTTGGGACGGAAAGGAGTGGCAGTGGCACGCATATTAAGACAATTCATAAAGCTAGACAATGGGTCTGCACCAATTACATTTTAGTTACTTTTTGAACAATTACAAAGGTCCTCTTTAAAACAATTCATAAAGCAATTGAATGGGTCTGCAACAATTACGAAGCTCATACCCCACTAAAACAATCATAAAGCTACGGAGTATAAACTATTCATAAAGCTATTCCAGATGGGAGGAACGAAAAAAGCTCTGCCGCTGAGCTTCAACATGAAGGAACAACTAACGAAGAACAATCGTATGATTTCACTTCTGATTCTTCCGTCTGAGGCATGAAATCAAATTGATCTTCACTATCTTCAACAACCTAATCTTCTTTATCTTCAACAACTAGACCTTCCAAGTTACGAAAGGGGTTGGAGGAATCAAAACTCATTTTCTGTGAAGGCTATTTTCTGAGAAGGCTGTGCAGAGGGAAGGGGTTGGGTAAAGTTTTGGAAGGATAACCTGCGAAGGTTGTAAAGAGTGAAGCCGATGGATTTGGGGAAGGTATACGGAGATGGGAGAGAGAGAGTTGGGGTAGACTGTAGGTGTTGATGGAGTGTGCTGTGGGTTTGTTAGAAAAGATAGGGAAAAGGAGTAATTTCAAATTAAAAATAGGGGTGTTTTTGCCATTACATTTGCTTTAAACTTTCCTAAAATAGTATGGGGAAAAATAGTGGGACACCCCGAAATGGTAAAGTGGGACAAAGTTAGGGGGATAGAGGGAGTATAACTATTCAAATTTCCCAAGTTGATTACAATAAGTTTTACCATCTTTACTATGTAAATGTTTGATATTGATTCTGCTTGATTTTTTTCTTTTTTTAAATCAGAATTAGTTTTTCAGAAATCACTTTTCTCCAACTTTTAAAAAGCTGTTTTTAGGAGCAATTCGCAACACCTAAAAGTGCTTCTATAGTTTCAACCAAACACTCTTATATATGTTTTTGTTCCTTGAAGAAGCAAAAACAGTTATAAAAACTAGACTAAAACACCCCTATATGATATTTCCATGGTGGGCTGGTGGCTCTATGCTTTTGAGGTCACTATATCTGCAAGGAATTAGTTAGCATGATTGAGAAACCACAAAGAGAAAACCTTTTAGGAATTAGGAATTAAAATTATACTCATAATAGTTGGAGACCATGAATCACATTAACAAGATAGGGAAGAAAAACCATATAGCATCGAGGTTCTAATTAACATGTTAGGACGAAACCTAGTTTCTAAAGATAACTAGTAGCGTGCACGATGCACGGTTGGTGAATATTTTACAAAAACTTTATATAGCTATAAGAATTGATATCTACAAAAAGTTTCATGAATCACACAATTGTTTACACTGATGAAGTATTAAATATCATGATCACGTGAGAGAATTACTCAGAACGTTTAATACAAAATGTGTTGGTAGCATAATATAATGAAAAAGATTGTTTCATGACACAAAATTTTGGAAACCATTTAAACAACATTGCATTAACAATACAATTGTTAAAATGAATTAGGCATAAAGCTAAATGTTATAAAACACTTCTGTTGAGGTTTATTCCTTCAACCCTCGGGTCCAACACGTAAGCCCAAGGATTTCGAATGGAGTGTGTGAGTAAACTAGCCCAACAAGCAGATAATAGGGGTCAAGAAACAGTAAGGTAGCAAGTAAATGATTAGGTATTATTATCTCTTAATAACTCCCTAATACAATACTTTTTCGCTAAGGCTCCGTCGGCTGTTCGTCTTACAAGACAGTAGAAGTGCTGCGAGTGAGTAAAGTTTTACCTGAAGAGCAGCGGCCAGAGCCGCATTAGAAGCCTCCGAAGACGTCCGGGAAGGCATCTCCACACCGACCAGAGAGGCAATCTCCTGCCAGACATCATGAGCCGGACGCCCAAGGAGGGAAGGGATCAACTCCTGCTCTTCGGGGGCCGAGGAGGAAGCCCCCCGGGGCCTCTTGGACTTCTTGTCCCTCGCCTTGTCTCCCTCATGAGGATGAACGGCCTGCAGAGGTGCCACGACCTCGGGAACACCAGGATTGAGGGTTGGGGCTTGGGACCCCTGCGCCATCACCGTGGCAATGAGGTGCTGTTCCGCCTCTGCCGTGCGACGATCGGCCTGAGAGGCGGAGGAGTTAGAATCTGCCGTTTGGGCGATCTTGGCCTTGACAAGGGCAGCATCAGCAGCGGCACCCTTGCCTTTCCTCGTCCTGAGGAGCTTCTCGTGATTCATTTGTTCCTGGGTTGGAGGAAGACCTGAAAGGAAAATAAGAAACGTGTTAGATGGACGAGCGTCAGGAATAACTCACCTCGGAGGTCAGGACCGCCCAATACCCCGAGACGAGCGTAGGAGGGGAGATGTCCGAGAGCATGGGCGGTACCTATTCCTGCCGCGGCGAGTGCCTCGAAAGTTAGGAAGTCATCTAAGGGCCGGATGCCGCCCGTCGAGATCTTTCTAATATCCTCCTCCAGATCGTCGGTCAGCTCCGGAGACCCTATCTTGGGCGGATAGCCGTTCCAATGCAATGGCAGACGAGCATCCGCATACCGCACGAAGAAGAACCGATTCTTCCAGTCATGAATGGAGCTCGGTGCTCCACTGAACAGCCTCCGTCTCGGACGAGCTGCAATGCTAAGGAAACCGTCGGAATTTTGGGGGGTGAGCCGGTAGAAGTAATGGAACAAGTCCAAAGTGGCGGTGACCCCATTGTCCTTGCAACGGACTAGGAAGGCGGAGACGAACCGATAGGAATTCGGCATGAGCTGTGCGGGGGCTATCTGGTAACAACAGAAGAATTCCACGAAGAACGGATGAAGAGGGAAGCGCAGCCCCGCCTCGATGGAGTCCAGAAGCACCATAACCATTCCTGGGCGTCTCCTCATCACGTGGGTTGCGCCACGAAGGCTGTATACGGACGGAGGGGGGAAGAACACCTTCAGTTTGTTCAGGGCGACCTGCGAGAAGACCTGCTCGTGGCAGAGGACGTTCTTGATTGGGCATAGATGCCTCTCCACATCTATCTTTAACCCGAGTTCAAATACCTCGATGTCAGAGCCATCCTGCGCCTCGACCCCAGAGTCATACCCGTCCGGACGACCGTCCTCGCTAACGGACTCCTGCTCCCCGCCTTCAGCCACGGGGTCCACCACATCGAGAGCCATACTGTTCTGCTCCCCCGAATCAGCACCCTCCTCACCAGGGACAGTCGCAACAACACCAGTTTGGGCTTCCCCGGCCTGAACAGTCCCCGCGGTAGGGGCCGAGCCAGAACTACCAGAAGTGCTAGTTTCCCCCGAAGAGCGTGAGCCGGGATCGGAAGTGGAGCCCGAGGAGGAACCCGATGAGCCCGAGCCAGAACTTGACGAGATCTCCATCGAAACCATCGCGGCAAGAATTCAAGACAAGAAAAAGAAGCAGAAGATGAGAATTACCTTAGAAGGATTAGCCGAACTTGGAAGCGGGAGGAGACTTGAAGAGCTGCGGAAATTCGAAGACAAGAGAGCAGAAATTGGGAACCCTAATCCAGAGGGAAAAACCGGCATTTATAGGAGAAACACCGGTGGGGGAGCCAACGGGAGGCTGACGCGTGGCAGGGAGCGTATTCCGGCTCACGCGCCGTGCGTGGGGCGAAAGCGTAATGATGACATCTCCTTGGGAAATGCACCGCCGCTACAGCAGCCGTCACCTCGTTTCCTGAACCGTCGACAGCTGTTAAGCACCATGACCACGAGCGTACGCTTCCACCGGATGCGATAAACACAAGTATCAAGACACGAACGTCTACTTTGAGGAGATTCATACTTCCTTATGTCCTGCGCATGCTCAGAACATCAGAAGTGGGGGACTTGTGTTGGGTTAAGGGCCCAAGCCGAGGTCCGGCCCACTAACCCTTCCTTCACTAGACGTACGTCCAGTTAGACCACAGGGCCAGCCCGCAGGCCCATATTCCTTGGGGAGGGACGAACGTCTGAGGTCGGGAGTTTAGGCCCAGCGGCCCGTCCCGACGAACGTCTATGCAGGGACGAGGAGCAGGACCACGGGCTACCAGGTGACGACAACGAACGTCCCCAGGGCGAGCCTATAGTCATCCGAGGAAATCCAGTCCGCATGAAGAGAATCCACAAGGCCAGGAGACGAACAGCCGAAACCTCTTGGGGATCACTTGGAGCGATCCAGCTCGCTTCCCTGGCGGACGAACGTGCCCATTATTTAGGCGGGAAACCTAGATTCTGGCGGGAAGTGCATTTAATGCTGAAGATTTGGTGGTTGGGGCACAAGCGGTCCACAGGCCTCCACGTCAGCACAGCCACCTGCCCATTGGCGGGTATAAATAGAAGCATTTATTTCATTGTAAAGGGTTGGCAACTTTCTATTCTTAGCACTATAGCTATAGCATCCTTACTCGCAGCACTTCTACTGTCTTGTAAGACGAACGGCCGACGGAGCCTTAGCGAAAAAGTATTGTATTAGGGAGTTATTAAGAGATAATAATACCTAATCATTTACTTGCTACCTTACTGTTTCTTGACCCCTATTATCTGCTTGTTGGGCTAGTTTACTCACACACTCCATTCGAAATCCTTGGGCTTACGTGTTGGACCCGAGGGTTGAAGGAATAAACCTCAACAACTTCTTTTCCAACATTTTGGGTCTTATTAGTGGTTGCTCCACCATCATTTGAAATGAGAATTTGCAATTCAATACGATCAGTCACCGTAGACACAACCACATAGAGTTGTTCATGAATGAAAATAGGTTTTTTCAATAGCAATTCAACACGGAACAATGACGGTCGTCCTTGACTTTTATTTATTGTCATGGCATATGGAATCATAAAAAAAATCCCGAGTGTAATTAATTATAGTCAAATTTGAAATCAAAATACAAACTGGTAATTTTAATTGAATCATTTAGAACTATACTTCTTACAATAATACAGTATGACATAAAAAGAAATTCATTCAATACAATTTACCAATCATTACGGAGCAATCCACAATGTTTTTAACGTAATATAATAGTACAATAATTTTTTCAACACATTTGATCTCATTTGCTATAGAGCCAAAGACTCACTATTTATACGAATTGCATTTTTTAAACGAATTGTCTTTGTAAATAGATAAAATAAGCTAATTAAGAAATTTATTTTTAAACTTTCCTCTATTTTCCTCCAACCAAACACAAAATGTTTATCATCACTCTTCCTTCCTTTTTCCTCCCTTAACCTCATTGGCTTTCCCTTAAAAACAAATGTGGCCTAAGGGTGTGTTTAAGGGAGTTTGGGGAAAGGGGAAGTTAAGGCTTTAAAGGTTAGCTGAGAGGGAAAAATAAAATGAAAGTAAAAGAAATTCGTCCTTTTATTTAAGGTTTACATATAAGAAGAGATCTTACAAGGGAATTATAGTTAACATCGCTTAAGGGCTAGTTTGAAAACGCTTTAAGAAAAACATTTCTCGGCTTTTGACTTTAAAAAAACACTTCTTTTATCAAACACTACAACTTTTATTTTTCTCGGCTTTCGTGTCAAAAGTGTTTTTACTTTTTTCTATTACACAAAAAACACTTATTTTACCAAACACTACTAACTTCTACTTTTGAAAATCACTTTTTTCTCAAACACTATCAACTTTTATTTAATCACTTTTCCTTATTTCATTAAAAAAAAGCACTTTTTTAAAAGCAGAAGCGGTTGCAAACAGACCCTAAGAGATATAGCCAATACAAATAGTTGAGTTTATATTCAATTTAAATCACGTTAAATTTATACGGAGTATTTTATTTGCTATTTTTCAAAATATTTAGAATAAAATGTTGAAGAAAAAGACACATCACTCCTAGTCCTAGTCATATCTTGCAGTGTAAATAAGTGCGCTTTTTGGAAATTGTACGTATCCATTGGACGCCCTAGACCGCTCGACCCAGAGATTTCATAGGTTTTCGGTTTCATTTCCTTGTCCTCTCTCCTGCACCTGCAGATTTTCTCAGACAGGACACTATTACTCCATATTATTCGAAATTAACTTAAATATTTTGTGTATTCGAATTCGTTGACTCAGAGTTTCGGCGCCGGCGACTGGGATAAAACATACTGATGCATTCCAGAGCAAGATATCCACCGCCGGGGATGAGCGGCGGGGGACGAGGTGGCGGGGCCTTGAACCCTAATCCGGGTCCTCCTTTTCAGCTGAGAAACCCTCATCAGTACATCCAGCGAACTCCGTTACCGAATCAACAGCATTTCCAGAACCAACAGTGGCTCAGAAAGAACGACCAGCAGATGGCTGACTCCTCTGTCAGTGAGGTTGAAAAGACCGTGCAATCTGAATCCGTCAACTCGGGGTTCGATTTTCCTTTTCTCTGTGGTTTGGCATATACTCCGTAAATTTATACAATGGGCGCCCTCTAAGCTTTATGTTGAATTGAAGCGACTTCTGAGCTTAGATTATCTTTTTCTCTTTATCCAGCTCGGAAGATTGGAAGGCGCAGTTGAACTTACCTGCACCTGATACACGGTTTAGAACTGAGGTATAATTGCAATTTGCCAGTTTAATTACTTCAATTTCAAAAGGTCTCTACTATAATGACGTACCATTGCATTGGATTATTTCCCCCACAGAGTAATATGGTATGAGACTTTGAGTATTACTTACTAGTTCCTCTAACACGTGGAACCACTCTCTTGAAAATATAACATCTAGGAAATGCAGAATAGTGTTGCTCACACGCTATAGGTTCCTCATTCCTCATTGCATCTTCTTTATTTTTTTGACTGATTTTGCATTAGGTTGACCCCGGTAAAACCCCAACCCTTCCATGAATTAGTTATTCCTAAGGACAGATAAAGATGGTATGAAAACATACATCGTCTCCACTCTCCACATTGGATCAAGTACATGGTCGGAAGAATAAAATGCTAACTCATACAGAGCTAACGAAGGGAAATGGAATGGTTGCAAAAAGAGGAAGAAAGAGATGTCGAAAAAGAAGCGCAATCCACCAAAGAAGATCTTTCCCTTTTTCCTCGAAGAAATTGGGAGAAAAAGAAGGGAAGAGGTTTTGGTTTTATTATTGTAAAAGAGTTTAAGTGCTGAACAATGAAAATAGATGGCCCCTGCCGGATTGATTTGATCATAAAAGCGCGCATAATAGACCGATAAGAATCTCGCGAGCTGTCCTATAATAAAACCACCGCTTGCGGCTACCTCCTTGTTTGTATTTATTTCTTTTTCCAGAACCACATGTTGATGCTCACAACTTAATAGCCATACTAGTGATTTAGAGGGCATATTCAGAACAATATTTAGTGCCCATTTTGGGCAACTCTATATAATCTTTCTTTGCTATTTGATAAGAAATAAGAAAAAACCGTCATGAAGTTCATTCTCCAGGAACTCTATCAATATATTGAGATAAAAAGGGTAGCCCAGTGCACGAAGGCATCCCCACAAGGTGAACGTCTGGGGAAGGGTCCCACCACAAGGGTGTATAAGGAGCCACTTTTCTCCTATCAATTTTGTTTTTATAAGAGTCTGCTCCCAAGACTTGAACCCGTGACCTCTCGATTACACCGCAACACCTTAACTGGCGCGCCAAGGCTCCCCTTATGTATCAACACTGAGATAAGCCATAAGTTTACAACTCTTATCTAAGAACTTGTTCACAAATACCGTATTGAAAGGCATATGGGAGTTTGTTACTAGGTATTTGACCAAATAGGATTGTCGAGTTCCCTCAATGTTAGCTCTTTGCCATTTGGGGTTGTAGTATGTTCCAAAGGTTGGGCTGTTCGCCCATTAAAGTGGTATGTGATTTGGGTTTGTATGGTCCTGGAATCTAGGTATCCAACCCCTATGGCCTCACATGAAATGTACAACCCGTCAATTGTTCCAGGGTTATGTTAATAGCAATTGTAAAAATAGAAGAATAGTTACTATGGTTAAATTAAAAGTACATCGCTTTGAATGTACTCTATCTTTTATCTAGGTAAGAAACAAAACAGGAGATTTATTAATGAGACACCACCTTGAATCTTTTGATATACTTTATCTTTTATCTAGGTAAGAAAGACATTGCCTTTGCCTACATCTAGAACCAAGAACTTACGTACTAAACTATTCATTAATGTTTTTATACGGAAAGTTAGTTAGAGGAGTAGTTATGAACCTTGTAGACCATCCACAAGGGGCGGTGAGGTAGAGCCTTTATTGGGAGGATAAAATCCTACAATCCATTAAGATTATCTTGCACTTGGAAGAAAAACTAGAAAGAGGAATACATATAGTTAGAAGCTCATTCTTCATCACACTCTCCTCATTTCAAATTATGGACAACTCTAAACTAAAAAGATAAAAAAGTTTTACTCCTGATTCAAGTTTCCAGTGACGACAATGCAATAAAAAGGCTTGGCTCCGTTATATGAAATACGAAAAACCATAGCAACCATCAAGAAAAAATGAATTCCAAAGAACTTGGGTAAATCCAAATAGGGTTTTCTAGTCCATTCATAACAAAAGACTTCCAGATACCGATACACCCAATGCTAGATAGCTGCTAAAGAGTTTACAAGAACCTTCAAAACATTTTGTTTATGAGCAGAAGATCCTTTCTAAAATGTATGTTCAAGTGCGGAAAGGCCATTTGCAAATGATGTTTGGTTTGTCCTTTAAATAGATTCCCTATTTTTATTCTGTTTAAGAAAAAAATATCGAGGAATTTGATGTTTTTCACTTGAATTTCAAATTGATATTATTTTATTCTAGGATGCTCGGGTTTGATACACAATTTCTTTTATGAGTCGATCTATATAAAAGGAATGAGTGAAGCCGGGGGCGTAGCTAGGGGGCCAACCTAGGCCCCGACCCACCCCAAATTTAAAAAATGCCTATTTTTTTAGTGTAAAGAATTCGGTGTAAAAGTTTTTCCAAAAATATTCTTGTACCGGCCAAGTGAAGCTCCAATAGAAAAATCTTGTAAGGCAAAAATATTTCAAAGATGATATTGCTCCAATGCAGTAGTAAGGAATTCTTGAAGGACAAATCCCATGCAGTAATAAGAATTGTTGCTGCTCCAATCATTTTTGGTATAAATCATTTCGGAATGACATATCCATCACATAAGTAAAAACTCTGGTTTTTCAACAAGTGTATGCTTTATGCCTATATCCATTTTAAAACCATCAATGATCGGTGAGCCCTCAAATCCATTTGCATTCCCATTAGAAATATTACCCCAGTGATATTTCTTTCGTATTAATTCAATATTATACTTTGATTCTGCCCTTCTAGACGGAACACTAGCTCTAACAATTCTATCACTTTCTACTGAAATCACTGAAAATGTTTAGAAAAATATGCATAGGGGCATAGGGCATACAAAAAGGCCACACCATTCTTTCTCTCTAAAGACAGGTGGCCTAACTATCCAACTGCGCAAATGTCATAGCAGGAGCAAGACCAGTCAAATCAGTTGTAGGTGTATAAACTATTTAAATTAAGGTTATGGAATCTTATTTAGTAGAAGGATCATAAACTTGGTTTGATACAACGCCTTAAAGTCAATACGATTACATGGATATTCCTGTTATGGTACAATGCTATGATACAAGAAAAAGACAAGTTCCAAAAAAAGAGGAACCTTGTATCTAAAATATCTAAAGTCTCTTAGGTTTTCAAACATTAAGTACGAATCTGCAACATATACCTTTATATATTATGAACTGAGTTACATTTATTAAACATTGTGAGTTATTATGTTTTCTTTTCTATTCTAATTTGAGATGACTTGCATTACGTATTGTTAGAGAACTTGTTCTAAATAAAATAAAATAAAGGGGCTTAGATCTATACATCGATTCTGTGTCGTAAGTTTTTCGAATTGTATGTGTCATAAGATACATGTACGGTCCCTTCCCCTAATATAAAAACATGTGGATAATTGGAAGGGGAGAGAAAGCAAGAAAATAAGCTCAGTGATTGAAAATTGCACTACTAAGATGAATGGACAAGCAACTAAAGAATACATATGTTGCGCTACTAAGAAGGTAATAAGTAATAACCCCTTATGAAGCTAAAGCGGTGCTAGAGATTACCTTTTTAATAAATAATGCTATTCATAAATTTGATATTGTTGTTTCAATTGTTCCTATCCTTAGAATCTTAGCTAAAGCTAAATGTTGTAATGAAATAGTGTAAATACTTCATCATTTTCATTTTCATTTACCTCAGTGCCGCAAAGGCTCCCACCTACGGTGGGGTAAGGGGGGGTCGGATGTACGCAGTCTTACCCCTGTACAAAGGGATAAAGAGACTGTTTCTGGATGACCCATAGTGAAAATCGCGTCCAAAATTGCATGGGCTGACTGCTGCTTCATAACAAAGAAGCGCAGACAGTTTAGTGAGCCATTTTGTTTTATTCCATCATATTTTCAAGCCAAAAATAATGAATTTTTGGCTCCATTGCAAATGATGGAAAGAAATAGTGTAAATACTTATTAATAATAATATAAAAATAAAGAATCTTTATGTTGTGTTGTTGGGGACCTCGCTTAAAAAAATTACGCGACAGAAGAAACTTTCCAATTTTAAAACTCTACCTTCAATAAGAGGAGATATTTTCAATAACTTGATGTGTATCTTTAATAAATAAACAGATTAATCGATCTATTTCTACATTGCTCATGACATTTGATAAATAGTAATAACTTATGTATAGAGTATTATGACGGAAAGATTCATTATAGAATGATCCAATAAGTTCTTTAGACGAAAAAACATTAGACAATCCGCCTTCGAACTCTAGAATGTGTGATTCTGATTTGGAAATCCTTGAGAAATGTGAAAAAATGAAAATGAAGAATCATAGTTTGAATCTATTACATGTAATGTCTTTTTTAGAGCTAGAGGAGATGCATCCCCGGTGCATCAAATAGTAGGTGCAAAGAACCAACCAGACTGACCTAGTAAATAGAATACAAAAACAAAACTATTTGGGAAAAGGTTCAAATCGACCATTCTACTATTTTCAATCCATCATTTAAGCCCCTATACGTATTAAAGTATCATATAATTCCGCTTACTTCTTAAAATCAATCAATTCATTCATTTAATCGGGTTTGACATGATATCACAGTTTTTGTTTGAAAAAATCTTAGAAAATTGTATAAATTCAGAAAAATAGGAAAAAGTGTAAAAATTAGGAATATCAAAATACATATATTTAGCGATTTTTGAGTTATTTGTGTATTCTACATGTTTTAATTTTTTGTAAATTTTATTTATTATATTTTCATATACAATTTGATTTTCGTTTTTTTATTTTTACGTTTTTATATTATATATCTACTTTGGAATTTTACTTCCTATATTCCCATTTCTTTATTATTAACAATTTATATGATTCCTTAAAAAATTATAAATTATTTGAATTACTTTTTTTTTAAAAATTACCTGCTATAAGAGGTCAAGATGGTTGATTGTGTTTTCAAACTAAACATGCTTATGTGATACTCCCTCCGTCTCTTAAAATTCTGTCAAGTTTGACCGACTGAGAGATTAATAAAGTAAAACTTGTCTGGTAGAGGTTTGTGCAGAAGAGAGATAATTAATTGGAATCACAAATTCTTTACTTAAAAAGGAAAGTGACAAAGTTAGTAGGACAACCAAAAAAGGAAAGTTGACAAAGTTTTAAGGGACGGAGGGAGTACTTTTTTAAGTACACGAGCTCAAGTGATGGATTTGAAATAATAGAAGGGTCTATATGAACCTTTTCATGAACTATTTTATGGAATACAAGTAATTGTTATGATCAATTGGATAAAAAAGGGATTCTCGGGAAATTTCGACAACAATTTGTCCGGATTCTACATATTGCTAGTTTTGAACTAAAAGAACACTTTATAGAGGACTTCGTATTATGTAGATTGTAGAATATCTTCACTCTCTATAGTTGCATACAAGTCGAATAGGTGATAAATTTATGTGGGAGTGAATTTAAGTACATGCAATAAAGATATATGTTGAGTGTAAGGCTAAATGGCTAATATTTTATCATGTCTTAATTATTACGCTGGTAAAGTCTAGCAAAATAGGCAATTTTTGGCAATAATGGGTTATCACGAACCGAGTTACAATAACCCCATGGGTTAATCGGTGTAATAGGATAAGACTTAATTTATGCGATAAAATGAGTACTGTGAAATTAAAAAGTGCTTGTATATGTCACCTAGATGTCAAGTGTAAGGCTAATATATCAGCTCAAATATTTTCGATATTTGTATATTTTTCCTAAATATTTCCTAAATATTTATAATAGTAGTAGTCTTTAAAAAATTATCTTCCTTTTATAGAACAGAAATAGTCAATTTGGAAACAACTTATTGTCAACCGTTTTCAGATATCAATATAAATCTATGATTCAGAAAAACAAGTATGTAAAAGATATCTCTTTAGACAATTAGACGGTTTTGAACTTCTGAATCTGTGGAGCTGGGTTTGTTCAAAAACCCACAAGGGGATATAGTTTCTATAACTAAAGCATATTATGATATTCAGAAGGGGAGGTATGTAACGATCCCACACCGGTCAAGTATGGGCTTGATCGGTGGCTTATAAGTTAGGTATCCCTCCTCCTAATTGGCTAGTCTTTTGGAAGTGAGTTCTACACCTAGCGTTATGGACCTTGCTATGAGCCCTAGTATGGGCTAGGTCCATAACAAGGTATTTATGGGAGAATTAAAAAATGAGCACTTACGTGCAATTCAAAGTACATTGCTGCGTCTATGCTAAACCTTGGGTATACTCCCCTCAGGAAGTAGGAATTGCAACATGTACTTGCGCCAAAATCCTGCTAAATGATGATTCAAGCGGTTACATTTTTCCCAATATGGGTAGCAGCACCTGTTGATGATTGCTTATACAATGGTGGTCCAAACAAAAGGATTGACAAATAAAAGTGCTTATGTGACAACCAGACTATAAATTGGTAAACCTTCCATAAAAGCTAGACTAAGCAAGAGGAGTATCCGTATTTGGCAGAATGGGTGAACGACTGAATGTACTCACGAAGGAAATGATTTTTACAGGGAAATGGAGAATCTAGAGTAATTAATGAACAAATATATAAATACTTCCTATCTGGATATCAGAATATGCTTTAGTTATAGATTGTTTTTCCCTTGTGTTTTTTAACAAACTGAGCTCCGCGGATTTAGAATTGTCCCTATTTATATAATAGATTATACGGTCTGGCACAAATTGGGAGAATTCACACCTACTTTAAATTTCTGAGGACATACAAAAATGATAATAAATCTCTTCAGTAATGTGAATATTGATGTTTTTTTGATACTTTTGAGTCATTACTAGGACATTACTTGAGTTCAACTGTAGGTAGATGCGAAGAAATGCTTTATTTGCTTAAGAATTGGGAATTCCTATTACATTGTTTGAGTACTTAACAGGGGGATTCACTGCAAATTCCAAAATTTCTTCCCGATACCTACCACGGAAAACTCGAACTTGGATTCCAATTTGACGGGTTAATGTGAGCTAATCCATGCTAGATTTTTTTATAAACAAAGAGATTACTCTATCTATTTCCACATTGATCGTGATATATATCATAACTAGGACATTCATTTCAAATGCATATCAGATTTTTGCACAGCAGAGTTATGAAAATCAATTCTTTGTTCTCTATTTCAATTTTAAATAATTCATATCTTGCTCAGACCAATAAAAAGTGCTGAGGTTAGAGTGAAAGCTGCCACGAGAATATCAATATACGCAGTTATAGTAAGAATAATATTTGATCAGTCGAGGATACTCATAATTGATTAAACTATAGGAACCATTATTGTAAAAAAGATGGGCAATTCCCCTCAAAAGCGGAGCAATTCAGCATGGGCGATAAGCTTGGGTTTGAACTGTAACCAAAATGGGAGGAGTGTTACTGCCCCCTTGTGTATATAATCAATGCGAATGTGTCTAAAGTTACTTGTACGTGCAAGTTTCCATAAATAATTAAATGGGTACTTGGTAATTTGTCACCCATCAGTATTGATAATTGACCATTTTATATTATATATATTAGCATTTTCTTCACAGGGCGTGGCAGTTACAAAGGAAAAAGAATTTGGAGACTGTTGTCAATATTTATAATTTTGCGATGATCATAGCATAATATCATTTTCATTACAGGATGTGACAGCGACAAAGGGGAATGAATTTGAAGATTATTTTCTGAAACGTGAACTGCTCATGGGGATATATGAGAAGGGTTTTGAGAAACCATCCCCTATACAGGAGGAGAGCATACCAATTGCTCTAACAGGAAGTGATATTCTTGCAAGAGCAAAAAATGGAACTGGAAAAACAGCTGCCTTTTGCATTCCTGTATTAGAAAAGATTGATCAGGAGAAAAATGCTATTCAAGGTCTGTATCTGAAGATAGATAAGAAATGAGATTATTAATGTTCATAAAGTTGTTATATCTCTTCACTTTTTTCTGTTTGTCAATCTTAATCGTATCATAACAGAATGACCTCTATTTAGGCATTAGGTAGGAGAGTTGAGCTTCTGATTCAGTTCATTGTGTATGTTTGGTTTTATATCTCTGAGTTAGTAGAGATATATTACTCACTTAACTCATAGATTTGTTTCTTAAATTACACAGGTTGCATCATTGTTCCAACTCGAGAACTGGCTCTTCAGACATCACAAGTTTGTAAAGAACTTGGGAAGCACTTGAAAATTGAAGTCATGGTTACTACAGGGGGAACTAGCCTAAGAGATGACATCATGCGTCTTTATCAACCAGTTCATTTGCTGGTGGGAACACCTGGGAGAATACTAGATCTTGTAAGAAAAGGAGTTTGTGTTATAAAAGACTGTGCAATGCTTGTTATGGATGAGGTATGAAATGTAAAAAAGGCTTCACCTTATGTATCACTCTTTTTATTTATGAGATGTTTGAAGTGTCTAAAAATCCCTTAGCATTTAGGTGCAAGATAAGTTTTCTGTGAAGCTGCAAGCTGTGCCCCAACTAAATTTTATCCATATAGATAGTATTTTTCATTCTAATGGATTTAAGAACAAAATGATAGACAGACAAAAATCTTGAGATGTTGTTTGCTCTTTTGCTTTCAGGCTGATAAGCTTCTATCACCGGAGTTCCAACCGTCCGTGGAGCAATTAATCAGGTTTTTGCCTGAAAATCGTCAAATATTGATGTTTTCAGCTACATTCCCTGTCACAGTTAAAGACTTCAAAGATAGATATTTGAAGAAGCCCTACGTAATCAACCTGATGGATGAGCTTACTCTGAAGGGTATAACACAATTTTATGCTTTTGTTGAAGAAAGGCAGAAGGTCCATTGCCTGAACACACTCTTCTCAAAGGTTAGTATAATCGTATTTACTCTATTCTGACAGTTTTGTTATTTTATTAGTTGAACTTCTTGACAATGATATACTGTAACCTGTGTCTACAGCTTCAAATAAACCAATCAATTATTTTCTGCAATTCTGTAAACCGAGTTGAACTTTTGGCCAAGAAAATCACAGAGCTTGGCTACTCTTGCTTCTATATTCATGCAAAGATGCTTCAGGATCACCGGAATAGAGTATTTCATGACTTCCGCAATGGTGCCTGCCGGAATCTTGTTTGTACTGGTATGATATTATTACCTTCTCAAACAATTAGACCAAAAAAGGAGTAGTCATGCGCAGCCCTATGTCCGTAACCGGATTTTTCTTTTTGTTTTGCTGCTTTTGCAACATTTGTTTGGCCCGCCTATTTAAGAGCTTATGTACACAAAAAAGCTATATCCTAGGCCAACCACTAAACTATTAATGAGGAAACTTATTGGTCAAAAAAGAGCAAAAAATCTGCTTTCAGTACTCTGAATTGAAGTTTTTTATAAAAAAGTGCCCTCCTATTGCAATCTTTCTATGCAGTAGTAGTGAGATGAAATGTTTAAAATTTTCATCATAGGTTTTTACTTGTATGGGAAGTATCATGAGATGACAATGACTTGAGGTAGTTGTAACCATCATTCACATCTCCAAACATGACCTTCAGCTTCACCAAATATTCTCTAATAAGCTATAGTGATGTTTATTTTCACTTTTATCAGTGTAATCAAGTCTTCCTTTCACGGGAACATCCAATGATTTATTTGTACATACCCAGAAGCTATATGTCCGACTTTAAGGACTTGGCTCTCATTTTCCTACTATATTACAATGAAGTTTTTTTTGTGGTTACTCTAATAGTCTAATGAAATTCCTTCTACTTGTCTTTCTCTCTACTACTGTCTAAAATACAGATCTCTTTACAAGAGGCATAGATATTCAAGCTGTCAATGTTGTTATCAATTTTGATTTCCCAAAGAATTCAGAAACATATTTACACAGGGTATGCCCACTAGATATTTGACCAGCGTATTTTTTGTTTTTTGTTTTGTTGTTGAAATTTAAAACAAATTGGGATGCAGGTTGGGCGATCAGGGAGATTTGGACACCTTGGTCTAGCTGTAAATCTGATAACTTATGAGGATCGCTTTAATCTGTATGCTAACTACTCAAATGTCCTCCCTTATAAAAGCTTCGTGGCTTTTATACACTTTCGTTGTATTTTCTAATAAATTGTACTTCACAGATATAGAATAGAGCAAGAACTGGGAACAGAGATCAAGCAGATTCCTCCACATATCGATCAGGCTATATACTGCTTGTGATATGTGTACTCTTGGTTGGTGTTAGTTAGCGATGGTGAGTTGATACTGATTAATACTACGTAGAAATTAGAACACGCTATTCAATGAATTCTTTCTTCAATCCCATGTTGTATAATCTTTGAGCATCCCATAGTTCTTGTCATAATCCATGATTCTTGAATTTTCAGGAAAGTCTTTCCTTAAAAAAGTGAATTATGTAACTAAAACTTATTTTATGGGTGCTATGGATACATCTTTTTACTGAGCAATGTGCTTGAAAAAACATATATTCTTTTATATACTAATGCAACATAACAGAAACATGTTTTATGCAGAATGTGCTGGGCTCAACCTCTGAATGTATGATATCATAAGGGTTGTATTTTGAAGTCAGGCTAGACTGGAAGCCTGTTACCATTCTTGGAGATATACCACCTCCTTAAAACTCTTTATGGGCCCCAAAGTACATCTGTCCCAAATGCAGAATGGATGCACTATGAAACTGTCCATGGTGTATGGTTGCTTAATATGACTGTTTTCTGACTAAAAGGAAAAAAAGGTTCTTCTGGAGTGACTGTGATAAGAGATTTTAATGCTTTGTGTTTGCCTTGTGTTTCAGATCCTTTATATTTGCAGGCACAAAGATGTGTTCAATTATTGGCGTCTTTGATGATTATCTAGCAGTTTAAGGAGAAACATTAACATACTGTAGTAGTATAGACTCCTTTGTTTAGATAATCTTGTTGTTAAACTTTTCTGGTTCTCTATTTATGCCGCATAAAAATCCTTTCTGTCCTACTCGTTTAGTTCTTTAAATAACATGGAAATATGGAATACATAACAAGCAAGAAGAGCCCTAACACACCAGTACTCAAAGCAATAGGTAATATTGAGTACTGCCTTATTTTGGTATGCTTTTGTTCAAAGTAGTTTGGAGTAGTGGGTTTTATAAAAGCTGTTCTATTTAAAGCATATACTTTCGGAGGCACTTTTGTGTTCTTGTTCAAACCTCTACCCAAACAAGTTTTAACACTATTCTAACTTTCTAAGTTTTGTCTCACAGCAGAGTGCAGAACTGCAGACCATGTAAAATGTCAGTAATTTTCAATTCTAGCCTAAATCAACATCACAAACGATACAAAATCAACAAACTTGATTATTTTCAAGATATATATTGGGCTATATTGTAAATCATTAATGAAAAGGTCGGAATGGGGATAAGTAGACTTTATTTTCCTCGGCACTAAGACAATTATCAATAATAGTCACCTAAAGACCATCCAGGCGGGCAGCAATGACAATTAAGTTGCTTATCTTAATTCATAAGTAACAACAACAAAAATAAAATGCATATTAGTTGGGTATTGCAAATGTATATATGGATATATATGAATGGGTGCATGTATGTTCAGTGGGCTCTGTCTTTGAACGTATCCAAGCTCATCTCGCTTGGATCAGTCGCCTGCAACTCGACTTGAACACCATCCAGTTCTCTCCTGAATTTGTCTTTGGAGCTTGCATACACCATCTTGTTTCTCACGCTTGCGATCTCTGGTGACCTATTTGTATATAGAATAATATTGGATATAAAAAAACATCATATTGAACTATGTTCCTCATTTGCATAAAGAATAAAAATGAATATAAAATATCATCATATTGAACTATGTTGCAAGGACATGGAAGCATAAGAAATGAGATATACAAAAATGTGAAACATTTTAAAAGAACTGGATGCATTGTTTCATGAAACACATGAAGTTTTCATTCATGATAAGAAATTGTGTAAAACAATCAAGATTTATGGTTAGTGTATATGACAGGGGGATTGTTCAATCAAATAAACCAGGTTGTACTTTTTAACTTTAACACATTTGGCTGTACCCAAATGTTAGACTAGTTTGATAAGTGGCGGAGTCTAGATATTACATAGGGAAAAGTAGCAAATCAGCCATCGAACTAACTTAAAAAGTGTAAATCATCCCTTATATAGGAGACCATGTCAGGCCGTCACCATTTAGAGCGGTATCCAGTGGAATTTTTGATGATATTTTTTGAGCATCTTCTTCATTAAGTCTAGTTTACTCATACCAAATTTAAGCTAAAAATTCAATTGGGAAGGCAGTCAAATGAATTTTTGAAGATAACTGCGCAGTTAAACAACGTTGTATATTTCAGAAAATCATTTGACTGCCTTCCCAGTTGAATTTTTAGCTGAAATTTGGTATGGGTAAACTAGACTTAATGAATAAGATGCTCAAAAAAAAATCTCAAAAATTCCACCCGGAACCACCCCAAATGGCGACGACTGGACACAGCCTCCTATATAAGGGGTGATTTACACTTTCTAATTTAGTTTGAGGGCTGATTTGCTACTTTTCCCTATTATATAAAGCATACCAAAGCATGAAAATTTTACACTAATGAGCAAAGTTTCATATTTAAACGTATTTTTTCAAGTGTTGATAAATATTTGTACATACACCTACATTATGCGAAATTTTCGGCGGGGCTCTCAATCCCCTCCCCATCTAGAAGACTAAGTTTGATGCTTGTTTAATGATTAATGTATATTACAAGTTCGCTAGGAAATTAACACATATATTTTCCAAGAGTTTGATGTGAATATACCATGAAACGAAGAAGATCCTGCTTCTTTGCATATTCTCTTGAGTGGTGAAATCGTAGTCGAAAACGGCAAATCGACAATCATCAGAAGGTAAGCTATTTGTGAAATCCTCATGTGTCTCTTCATGACTTCCGAGTTTCTCAACAACCACAGCTTGACTTGATCTATCAATCTTGAAAATAATGTATCTGAAGTTTCTCTTCGACTTCAGCTCCATAAACTTTAGCTTGCACTCATCGATCACGCCCACCCCAGATGCCGCATTAGCCTAATAGCAATTTAGCAACAATATAAAATGACATTTAATTTCCACAATAGATCATCTTCTTCAATGAAAAAGAAAAAAACATCTAGAAATACCATTTTCCGCTGCTGTTAACACAAAATGAGGTTTGGCTTTGCACAAATTTTGAAAATAGTAGTTAGATGGATCTAGAGAGACAAACGATGGATCCTTTTCATGGTTTGTTGGGGATGAAGAAATGGTCAATATTGCAAGTTAATGCAACACACATTACTAATGTTATTTTACTGTATTATTATGGTTGTACATACTATCGTATGTGTGAAGCATGTGCCTTTGAACCCCTATGTTTGCTCATCACCCCTTATTTACCCTTTCTCAACCATTCATTGTCCAATTGATAATTTATTATTAATATAATAGTTATTAGTAATAACTATTGATTTAATTAAGCCATTCCCTTAATGAAATTATTGATCAACTTTAATTAAATAGTGGTTTGCAAGGGGATAATCCGGGCCTAAACCCATCCCAGCAAGTCCAGTGAAAACCTTTTCTTTGATATGCCAATTTTTTGTATACATTTAATACTTTGATATTTATGAATATTTCTTGATCCAACCAATTTTTTATAATATTATGCCTCTGCTATGTCATTGTAGGAGGTAACTTGTGAGACTCTACTCATTAGGTATCTCGAAGTGTTTGATTTTACTTCTATACAAAAGGGCATTGATAACTTTCATGATAATCAAAGCAATGTGATCACAACAAATCATATTGAAAGTCCAACTTTAATTATAATCATTAAATGATAAATTGTCTGATTTTTTTTTGTATGATATCAGTGAAATTGTGGATACCTGTCTCAAGTTTGATGGAAGCCTTCATATTGTATGTTTAAAAAGTTTTATTCAAGCAATTTTCTCCACCTCCATCCAAATGATTTTTCTTGCCTAGCTAGCAATGAATCTTGCAATCAAATATAATGGTTGGTGTTCAAAATTAATTTATCTTTATCATTGAGGTATTAAACAATAATATTATGTGATCCTGAATACATGTGATTTTTTCAACAACAAAAACTATTACATAGGATTAAATGTAAGACATATTATCCGAAATATACACTATAATTAAAACACCAGTTCACATGAACCCCTTTGAACAAATGGGATTTACCTCCACTAGCTAGTGGAGGTAAATGAAGATGACCTAATTTAGTTTCCTTTTTAAAAACATATTAACTAATAGAAAAAATGGAAACTAATAATCCAACCTTTTAGCAGTCTTCTTACAATAGTCCCACCTTTTCGTTATTCATGAATAATTCAACCTTTGCACCTCATCTTCATTCACTGGTCCCTGATCAGTTGATGACCTCCTATTCCAAGTTATTTTATTATCTTTGCAAATCATTATACCATAAATCTCACCTTTCACAAAGATAATATTTTGCAAAGATAAGAAAATAACTTGGAATAGTAGGTCATTAATCGATCAGGGACCCGCGAATGAAGATGAGGTGCAAAGGTTGGATTATTCTTGAATAACGAAAAGGTGGGACTATTATAAGAAGATCGCTAAAAGGTTGGATTATTAGTTTCCATTTTCCCTAACTAATTGGATTATTAAATTAGTTTCCATTTTCCCTAACAAATGGGGAGCCTTTTCTTTTTTTGAAAAGAGTATTTACATATTAACTAATATGGGGAGCCAAATATTATCAATCTTCACGACCAAACACACTAATGATATACACTAATGTCTTTTTAACATATGAGACATTTTACATGTCTAATGACTCCATTGTTCATACTTCTCGGATGAGGTTAAATTTGAGGCATTTTCAAAGCAACTTTTGTAAATGAAGATCAAAACGTACATTTTTTAAAATCACATGAAAAGATGAAGTCATTGAAGTTAAAAAAGAATAACACTTAAAAATAAGGGGAAAAGGTCAAATAGACCTTTCTACTATTTTCAATTCATTACTTAAGCATTTCTACTAAAGAAAACATCATTTAAGTACCTATACTTTTTAAATACAATCAATCAAGCTATTTTGACATGCTATAGCAAGTTGTTTTTAAAAAATAATTAGAAGTATTGATAAATCTTATTAAATTTCGTATAAATTTGAAAGTAATGTAATAAAATAAAAAAAACACACAAATGTAAAAATAGATAAATAAGTTAAAAACGTTAAAATAAACAAAAAAATTCAGAAAACTAAAAAATAAAGTGAAAATGTAATAGAAAATAGAAAATGTAAAAACATTTTAAATAGATGCAGAATATAAAAAATCTGTTATTACATGTCAAATGTCCAAGTTAATCTATTTTTTTAAAATATGAGTACTAACATGATACGTAGTACTTTTTTGAGTACAAATACTTAAGAAATGATTTATTTGATTGGACAGTTATAAGAATTTGGATAGAAGAATCTACGGAGTACCTTCTACGCCGTATCAATTTCTTAATTAATTAAGAAAGAAGATACTCCATATTAAGTTGGGATAAGGAACACCTAATCACCTATGATTTTCTTTTACAGCACCATTAACTTGTATTAGCCAATGATTGGTGAATTTCAGAGCAACGGACCCGTTTCTCCCGCTGCAGCCGGTGGTCTTCCAAAAGTCCAAAACACTGACTGTCCACTGAATCGGGAAATGGAATTTCAATCAGTTGGAGAAAGCTATAAAATGGAGCAGAAGCCAGCCACTTCACTCCCATAAGCAGTCTCATTGTAACAAAATCTCTCTCCTTCCTCCTCGCTGAAATCCGCATTGATTTTTGCTCTGTCCTGAGATTCCTAACTCGTTGTTCCACACTCGTCACATCGGTTAGTTCATCTACCTATTTTCATGCATGTCCTTACAACAGTCATTTTATTTCATTGAGATTGGATTATGCGTACGAATTTCAGTTAGTTTTGCTCTAACCGCCCTAGGAAGAGGTCTATGCACTGATATCCGTACAAGCGTGTCTATGCAATCAGCATATGTGTGTGTGTGGTCAGCGGTTGTTGCATGTCTTGAGTTGAGTTAGAATAGTATTAGTATGGAGTATTAAATTTGTTGTTATGATCAACTTCCAAGGTAATACGTGCATTGAAATTGTTGTTGTTTTTCTCCCAGGTGTTTGGTTTCAGGTGAATGACTAGAGGAGAATAAATGGGCTTCACGTATTGTCTTTTCCAGCCGTGCACAGCACACTATAGGGATGCTGTGAATTTCAGAAGTCTCCATCAACCAAACATATGCAAGGATTCAAAGAGGATATCTCTAGGAAGATCAAGGTTTTTGTGTAAAAGTCTCTCGAAAAAGAGTTCAAAACGAACAACTGCTGCTAGGGACCAAAGTGTGCTCAGTTCAAGGTTCTTATTCGACTGGCATCTGTGCAATTCAACTTCAGGTGGAATCAATGTCTGCTCAAAGGCATACAGAGGTGTACATATATCTAGATGTCAAGGAAATGATTCAACATCATTTATTAATAGACTTGTTGGGGATTCAGATCCTATAGAGAGTGGTTGTGATGCAGACCCAATTTGTGAGACTGATTCAATTGCAGAAATAGGCAGTCTGAGTGGAGAACACAAGGAACATAGAGAAGAGGCAGAGACAAATACGCCCGATTTAGACGATTTAAGGGAATTGTTTCATAAAGCACTCAAGGATTTGGAGGGTGCACATATTAATAGAACCATGTTTGAAGAGAAAGCTCAAACGATATCGGAGGAATCAATATTGTTAAAGGAAAATGCAGTAAAGGCTAGAAAAGATGTTAACAATGTTCTTAACACTATCCAAAAGATAGTAAATGAAGAAACAGTGGCTAAAGAAGCTGTGCAAAAAGCAACCATGGCACTTTCACTGGCTGAAGCAAGGCTTCAGGTGACAGAGGACTCGCTGGATGTCTCAAATGAGACTAACTTGCCTGCTGAAACTTCTGGTGTCAGCAAAATGGAAGCATCAGCTTCATTAAGAGAGGACAATGAACTGCTTTTGACTGCTAATGAAATTTATTTCAGAGAATGCCAAGACTGTATGGATAATTGCACTGCAGAACTGAGGCAATTACAGAACAGGAAGGAAGAGTTACAGAAGGAAGTAGAAAGGCTGAATGAGGTTGCAGAAGAAGCAGAATTGAAAGCTCTCAAGGCAGAGGAGGATGTGGGAAATGTAATGCTTTTAGCAGAGCAAGCTGTTGCATTTGAACTCGAGGCTACACAACGTGCAAGTGAAGCAGAGGTCGCATTACAGAGTGCAGAAAAGACACTAGCAATTTCAAATGTTGATTCCACAGAAGCTACAAATGAACATGAGCATGTTGAGGGGGTTGCTTTTCATGAAAACGCGAATAAAGGAAATCCAACAGATGCTGAAACACCAGAGGAGGTGCCAACTGAGGATGATTCTGTAACTGCAGAACCATTACCAAGCAAACAAATTAATACGACCGTTCTTAAGACTGATGAAGCGCAGTTATTGCACAAAAGTGAAAAAGAAGACAGTGGATTGGGGTCAGATAGATCAAAAAATGTTCAGAGCAATAAAAAACTGGAAGCACAGAAGGAGACAGTAAGGGATAGCTCACCATTAAATGGTCCAAAGTCTTTACTAAAAAAATCATCTAGGTTCTTTTCTGCTTCTTTCTTCTCTTTTTCCGCAGATGGTGTAAAATTTACCCCAGCTTCAGCTTTTCATGGTCTTTTGGAGTCAACAAGGAAAGAATTGCCTAAACTAATAGTTGGCTCGTTGCTACTGGGAGCTGGGTAAGAGTAACTGTTGATTTGGTGCTAACTTGTGCCTTTTCAACTAATAATTGCTGTAATACTTATAACTGCCTTCATAAGGCTTCACAGAAATGCAATAATTTGCTAGTATTTTATATGCTGCTAAAATATTCACAGATTTTCGCTCTATGTCAACCGGGCTGAGCAAATCATTAAGCTATTTCAGCAGCCAGACATCATTACTACTAGTATTGATGAGGTGTCGACAAATACAAAGCCCCTGGTTAGAAAAATAAAGAAACTGCCCCAGAAAATCAAGAAACTAATCAACAAGCTTCCTCAGCAAGAGGCACGTTCTTACAAAAGTCATTTTATTTTAGTTGGCTTAGATCCCATCGTTGGATGTGTATATACATCTATACTTGTACATTGTGATGGAGGTTTCTTCGCTTTGTAGATAAATGAGGAGGAAGCCTCCCTTCTTGATGTGATCTGGTTATTGCTTGCCAGCGTTGTGTTTGTGCCTCTCTTCCAGAAAATTCCTGGAGGTAATACATATTTTATTTCATCTTCTTCTTCTTCTTCTTCTTCTTCTTCCTAAGGTAGTAACTCTCTCACATTATGGTGACACAACATTGGGCCACCTTTTCTCATTTATTAATTAGATAGTTTAATCACTCATCAGTTTATTGCGGCTTCTGACAATTCGGACCACATTCATCTTATGTCAATAATATCCTTCTTCTTAAGCCGAACTCAGAGTGCATCTTGTTGTTTTCATGGCCTGGATACATGCTGTAGGCATTTATATTGCCTTCTCATAGCTCATCTCCTTTCTGCTGCAATGTTCAGGAAGTCCTGTTCTTGGATACCTGGCTGCTGGAATCTTGATTGGGCCTCATGGTATTTCAATTATTCGCAATGTACATGCAACCAAGGCAATAGCTGAATTTGGAGTTGTCTTCTTGCTTTTTAATATTGGCCTTGAGGTGGGGTTTGTAAAGATAGGAAATATTTTGTAGGTTTTTATGTGTAGCTGCCATGTAATGACTGAAGTGTTTTGATCTTTATGTGGCAGCTTTCTGTTGAGAGGCTAAGTTCTATGAAGAAGTATGTTTTTGGTTTGGGGACTGCTCAGGTTGCTGTAACTAAATGATTCAAATTTTATTCGACCAATATGAGTTATTGCCTTGTTCATATTTTCTGCCTTAACACTACATCTTATGTGCACAAACAAATGTAGGTATTAGTGACAGCTGCAGCGGTTGGCTTGGTCACTCATGTCATTGCCGCACAGCCAGGTCCTGCAGCAATTGTCATTGGAAATGGTCTTGCATTATCTTCCACTGCTGTTGTCCTCCAGGTAAGCACTGACATCTGTTTAGTAGGTCTTGCTGAATGCTGAATGTACTTGAATTTTTTGTTACAGGCGTGGTTGGGACTTAGGATCCTGTTTCAAATATAGAAAATAGAGAGTATAAGAGAGGAATATTAAAACAAGCCCAAGCTAGAAATAATCAGTGCCCAACCTTGTCAAGACACATAAGAATTAATTCTTCCCAAGCTGTTTATTGAGTAATACTGGTGACCCTTATATAGCTATTACTAGAGTTCTAATTATAAAAGAAAATAAATGCTAATTAAGAAGTTGCATAAAGCAGAATAGGAAAAATTACAAAAGGAGAGATATACTAATTAAGAAGCTGTCTAAAGCAGACATAGGAATAATATTAATAACAATACATAATAAATATAATAATATCAGGTTTCTTTCCTCATATCATTTTTAATCTCTATTTTCTCTCAAATGAATTTAAACTTTATGGCTCTATCTGAAATCACTATCAGTATTCAATGTTTAAACTCATTCCTTATGTACCTCAACTCTGTGAATTATAATGTGATTGAATGCAAGGTCTGCTTTGCTTTCACGTCATGGGTTGGAGATTGACTGTTTTTAGGTAGAGATATAGGCAGATAAATTACATGTTTATCTAAATGCTCATATTCTGGTGCCCTAGCTAGTATGTCACCCCTTGAATAATGAATAAAAACCGCGTTTTGTGTCCAAGAGGCTTTTTGCGTTGACCGGGAGGTTGGGGTTGTGGGCAATATGGTTTACACATGCTGCTCTTTCAGTTTGAGGGAAAGTAAACATGGAATAAAAGGTTAAAATGGTATAATGGGACACACAGTATGGGAAAGAGGGTGTAGTGAAGAAAAAAAAGTGTACCTTAGTAACTCTAGATTTAGATGATTCATTACTTGTTCATAAATACCATTTTGAGGTTAGTTGGGGTGATTGTAGAGGAACATGTGCAGGTGTTGCAGGAACGCGGTGAAAGCACATCGCGGCATGGGCGGGCGACATTTTCTGTACTACTCTTCCAGGTATGTGCACCCATGGAGAACTTTCTTGAACTACGATCCTAAGTGTTCTAGTGTTTCTTATTTGTTTCATTTTCTTCAGGATTTAGCCGTGGTTGTTTTGCTTATATTGATACCATTAATCTCACCGAATTCATCCAAAGGAGGGGTAATTTCCTTTTGCTTTTTTAGTTTATTTGGTGAAAACTCTCGTGTGATTTCTTTTTTGGTTCTATCTTTGACACCATTTCTTGATAAGATGTCACATTTATATTGCAAACCCTATGGTGGTCATGACTTTTTCTAACCCCTGATTTTGCTCTTAAAATTATGTGGTTCTCAGGTTGGTTTCCAAGCCATAGCTGAAGCCCTTGGATTGGCAGGTGTCAAAGCAATCATAGCTATAACTGCCATTATTGCTGGTGGGCGATTGGTAAGCTTATGGATATTGGAAATTCAGAGCTTTTGGCATCTGTATGCATTTTTTTTGCTGGCGAACCTGCAGCATGCTGGAATGTTCTTGTGAAAAATATTACGCATAGGAAAGTTTGAGGAATTTAATATTCACTCTGATTTGGAGAGGAGTATTTTTTTTCACTCAAAGTTTGTTGTATGTGAGTTTTAAATTTGTCTTCATGTGTTTATAGGCATTAAAACATTTTTTTTGGATTTTCAATGATTTGCAGCTGCTTCGACCTATATATAAGCAAATTTCAGAAAATCAAAATGCAGAAATATTTTCTGCTAACACACTGCTTGTAATTCTTGGTACTAGTCTCCTAACTGCCAGGGTAGGTGTCATCTATTCTTCTTGCATTGATTGATTATTAGGAATTTGCTGTTGTAGCTTAAGTGTCTTTTTCATTGTTGATCAACAGGCCGGTCTTTCTATGGCTTTGGGTGCATTTTTGGCTGGTTTACTTTTAGCAGAGACTGAATTTTCATTACAAGTTGAATCAGATATCGCCCCATATCGAGGCCTTCTGTTAGGTCTTTTTTTCATGACGGTAAGTGCTTGTATACACTTAATATGCATCCATATGTCAAGAATATGACCTTCAACTACAGCACATTATATGTGCCACTTCGTCAATTGCAGACTTTGTTCTACTTTTCTGTCTTTTTTCCCGGAGAGGTGGGGGTGATACTCCCAAAAAGTTTTCAATTTTTTCCTTACACTAAGTTAGAGCATATTATTTTAGCCCCTCCAACAATTCTAGAAAATACTGGGTTGGTGTTGAAAGGGCTGTTTTTATCTTTTCTTCAATTGAGTTCCCAATTTTGCGTCCACTTTCTCTTTCACTTTCCCATAATCCCATTATTACATCGGGTGTTCATTAAGATTTGGGTATTGCTAAGAGTTTTGTTTGCAAAAATCATTTTTAGTTTTCAAGGAAATCAGTGTTTTAGCTATAGAATCACTTGATCAACAATGACTTAGCAAATTGCATTGACTTAAACATGAGTGTATATAGGCACGTGTGAATGGATATTGGGACAAAAATATACAGTTAAACATATTAAACTCTAAACAACAATGGCTGAGATTGCAGCAATATTTGTTTATTTAATATCTAATATTTATTAGCTAAGTAGTTAAATCGGTACTTGGTGGCTACTCGGTCGAGGGCTGGGGTAGTGAGTAGGACTAATTACTCGGATTGCTAGTTTACTCGTGGGACTATTCAGCCATCCAGTAAATTTTTATAAAAATATGTCACAACATTTTTAGTAACATTGCTCAATTAGGTCATATGCTTTGTAAATACAAATCAGAAAATAACAATCTATAACAATTAGTATAAATCATAAATATTTTAAAAAGATCCATCATCCAATCAATCTTAATTTTATACTTATATTCTAAACTAATTCATGTAAGACATCCAAGAAGAATTTATTACTGCAAATAGCTTATATATATTAAAAAAAATTCCTTGTAAAAAGTCTAAGAAGAAGAAGAAAATGAAGAATTGGAAGACGAAGAGCTCACCAAGACACAAAAGCCTTTGTGGGAAATATTAGATTTTAATACCTCCAAAACATAGATTTTGTAGTGTTCTTTTTTGGTGTACTAAAATTATGTCCTTACTTTTCAAAACCCAATCTTTAGTCTCAATCATTAAAAAGTCATATTTTAGTCTCAATCTTTTTTGGCGTGTAAAATGAGTCACTAAGGAGTGAGAATGAGTGAGTACTCGGCGATTGACTCGGGATTGAGTTGGTAAGCTACATGACAAGGCGTATGTCTGAGTAGCGAGTACTTTCCGATTAGATAACATATTTTATAAGTGTAGATCAATGAGTGCAATCTGTTCTGTATTTCTACTTAGCCATATTGCATTTGGTAATTATTCCATCCAAATAATATCTCATCCTTGAATGGGAGCCTTGACGCACCGAATAAGGTGTTGCTGTGTGACCGAGAAGTCATGGGTTAGTCTTAAGAGCAGCCTCGTGTCAAAAATTTGACATGGGAAGGCTTGCCCCTTATACACTTTTGTCGTAGGACCCTTCCCCAGACCCTTCATGGGTTAGTCTTGAGAGCAGCCTCGTGTAAAAAATTTGATAGGGGAAGGCTTGCTCCTTATACACCTTTGTGGTGGGACCCTTCCCCAGACCCTCGCCTTGCAGTGATGCCTTTGTGCACCGGGCTGCCTTCTTTTAATGAACATCTCATCCTTCTGCCACTATTACTTTCCTGCTGCTGCAATATTTTATCACGTTAATATTTCAACCAGCTTATTTTTAAGCCAAGCATATTTTGATGCTTCCAATATCTTAACTTCGGCTCCATAACAACAATTTTTATTTTTGATACTAGGTGGGAATGTCCATTGATCCCAAACTTCTTGTTTCAAACTTCCCAGCTATTATGGGATCAATAGGCCTTCTAATTGGTGGAAAAACAATGTTGGTTGCTTTAATTGGCCGTTTTTTTGGAATTTCAATAGTATCTGCAATAAGGGTGGGTCTTCTACTGGCTCCAGGTGGAGAGTTTGCTTTCGTTGCCTTTGGAGAAGCAGTTAATCAGGTTCTACTACTTATTCATTATTTCAATTCCTATCTGTTTTTATAATGAGAATATAAACATCTATCGATCAACTATTGTGTAGACAGAGAAAGGCCTGTGATGGTTGCATTAGGTATGAAGTTCGGTTCCTAGTGTTTACTATAATGTTTGCAGTAGAGTCAGGTGATGGAGTTCTAGTGTTAACAAACAATACATACTTTCACTAGAAACTTTTGTGGCTCCCTTAGGCTTATATGTACTGATCTGAGTTTTCTCGCACTTCAAATAGATGAAATAGTTTAGATGTAAGTGTGAGTATCTTCTCCACAAAGACAGAAAAAGAGAATTAAGTACTAATTTATTTTCAGCGTTTTTTATTACATAAATTAGAAGAAAAGGTTGTGTGAGATTTGATTTTAATAGAAGTGCAATGAAATTGGGATTAAATTAACTATTGATTAAAGGAGGGAGCATGGCTTGATTCCAGACGTAGAGTCGTAGTTCTTGGGAAAAAGGTTAGAGTCAATTACCAAATATTCATAAGATTAAGCAACACGATCAATACTAGGTTCTTAACGCTCTCGCGGTGTAGATTACAGCAATCTAGTGAACAAGACTGATCTCTTATGCAACATGCCTCTAGATTGTTACCAAACAATCAGTGTATTATTCTACATGCGAAAATAATCCTAGTCGTCATTCCAGGTTATTAACGATAGCTATTAAATCAATCAGAACACAAATCATATGAAGATCATGCATTCTAACTATCAAGAATGAAACCGTAGATCAAGAATGTCCCTTTAATCCCAAATCCCCAAGAGAACTACTCTCTATTCATAACCGTACATTAATCATAAAGAAGATACAATTAATTGACATTAGAATACATAATTACTTGTTCATAAATGCCGGACTTTGGTCCTACACACGGCTTTCACACAGTGTGCGTAAAGCTGTGTCTCTTGTGCAGAAAGTCATCGCCTTTGTTTGTGCCTACACACGGCTACACACACGGTGTGTGAAGCCGTGTGAGGTGTGAATTTAGATTATTTTTTTGTATTTTTTTGTATTTTTTTGTATTTTTTTGTGAGGTGTGAATTTAGATAGTCGCCTCAATGTCATTATACTAAGTCACCTCAATGTCTCCCAAATAAGAAATCAAGAAAGGAGTTTTCTAACCTACTCAAATGACCAACTACCAAATTTTCAAATATTTTAAAGCCGAGTGATCGGTGAATATTATTATACTACACAAAATCAAACAAGGATGAAACTTGAAAAGGACAAAAACAAATGCAAACAACTCTTTTTCAGTGGTAGTGTAGTTCTATTGAGCACTATCGAGAGTCTTACTTGCATAAGAAATAGGTTGATAATGTGTCTCTCGATGTTGCTCAAGGACAGCCTGAACAGCGTGGTCACTAGCATCACACAAGCTAAAAAGGAAGTGACGAGTCATGAGCATTACCACTGGTGTCTTGAGTCTTAACAATTTTTTCTTTAAGCAATCAAAAGCCTCTAAACACTCCTTCAAGATGCTAAACAATGTATCCTTCTCGAGTAGCTTGGTCATTGGTCGAGCTATTTTAGAAAGTATTGAATAAATCTACGGTAGAAGCGAATGTGGCCCAAGAAACTCCTAACAATGCGTACTGAGGTGGGGGGTGGCAGTTTGGATTAACATCTACCTTTGTTGGATCTACCTCAATCCCTACATCTGATCAGGGCTTTCTTAAGGTTACCTTGACACTCCTCAAACGTATTCCCAAGTGCAGAAAAGTTGTCCATAAAGACCTCCATAAACTTCCCAATAAAATAACCAAAAACATGCAACGCATAAAGGTAGCAAAAGTGTTGCAGAGTTCAAACGCCATCCTTCGATATGCAAAAACATTGTATGGACAAGTAAAAATTGTTTTATCTTGATCCTCAAGGGCTATTGGGATCTGGAAGTATCCTTGACATCCCATCAAGGAAATAGTAAAACTTATGTCTGGCTATTCTAAATTCTTGTTAGAATATAATTTATAATTGTGATCAATTATCATTAAAATGCTTGTAATAATTAATTTCCTTTTATGGTTAGTTAGGAATCTAGCCCTTTAGTCTTATTAAGAAAAATGACCCTAAATGTTTGGGATCATAATAATTGTTTTAGCTGTACAGATACCTAGGTATTTATAGTTACCCCATTAGGTATCTGTGCAAGCGATTGATCATTCCTGAAAAGTGTGCGTGTGAAATAGTGAGAGCAGACTAGCAGAGAGTATTCATTCGTGTAAAAACTTCTCAGATTATTCTCGATAGCTTCTTCTTTGCTTCTCCTTTCATTCTGTATTGGTATTCTTATTTGTTATTGACCTATTGCTGATTTCTGGGTTCAAACAATTCTGATCAATAAAGGGGAGGGGAAGTGGTCCTTCCGGGTGGCGGTATTAAGTTGCCTATAATCAATGTAAACCCGTCATCCGGTGACCGTACATGTAGGGATCATCTCATCATTCAGTCCTGACCACATTCACTTCTTAGGAACCACCTCAGTAGGACTACTAATTCAGGGGCTTGTTGGAATCCGGAGGTAAGTTTTCTGGTGAATGAGGTGTGGTGCTTTGTGTAGAGGTATGGAGATAGAAGTCTCCATTCCCAGGTTCAATGTTTTCCGCACCTGGGGAGTTCAATGTTCCAACACCGGTTGCAGATGTGGGTGGATTTAGAGCTTCCTTCTTTTCTTTGAAAGCTCTTTTTTTCGGTCTTGCAAACTTTTCTATTTTAAGATTAAGATGGGTTAACTATTCCCCCTCTTATAGCGTGTATGCATAAACAAGTCTAACGTGAAAGGTTAGAAAATAGGAAATCATATGAAATTAAAAAGAAATGTATTAAAGAAAAAATATAAAATGTCTTGCTGAAAGCAAACTAACACCTAAAATCGACATTCTACCCGGAGCGGCCCCAAAAACTGATGTCTGTTTCTCGCACTTAAAATAGATGGAATAGAATAGAGTGTAAGTACGAGTATCGTCTCTACTAAGATGAGAAATGAGAATTAAGTGCTAATTTATTTTTCAGCGATTTCGATTACAAGTATTTAAAAAAAACATTGTGCGAGACTTGATTTTAATAAAAGTGCAGCGAAAATCAGGTTAAGTATGTTTTCTTTTGGACTGTTTTCAGTCCCAGACCAGACTTAAACAGACCAGACCAGGCTTAAACAGATCAGACCAGACCAGACTTGGTCAGTTATAAAATACACAGAGACCAAACATTTACCAGACCAGACCAGACTTAAACAGACCAGACCAAATCAGACAAGACCAGACCAACAAATTTCAGCCCAAAAAACATCCTAAATTAACTATTAACTAAAGGAAGGGAGTAGGGATTAATTCCGGGGTGTAGAGATATTGGGGAAAAGATTAGGGTCGATTACCAAATATTCATAAGATTTAGCAACACGATTAATAATAGGTTTTTACCGCTCTCGCGGTGTAGGTTACAACGATCTAGAGAGCATGACTGAGCTTTCATGTGACATGCCTCTAGATTGTTGACAAATGATCGAGCATATGACCTCCTAACCGTGCTAATCTCTTGGCGAGTGGGAAGATGTGTGTGAAAGTGTAATAGAACAATTTAGATATCTCATAAATTATTCAACATGTGTAAATAATCTTAGTCGCATTACAGTTTATTAACAATAGCTATTAAATCAATTAATCACAAGACAAATCCTATGAAGATCATGCTTTTAAACCATCAAGAATGAAACCCTAGATCAAGAACGCCACTTTATCAATCCATATTACCCAAGAAAACTACTCCTTATTCATATTGGAACAGTTAATCATAAAGAAGATATATTAATCGACATTAGAATAAAGAATTACTTGTTTAATGACTTGATCCTCCAAAACTCGTTGTTTTTGGCTATCTCTAGTAAGAATACACAGTAGAATGAAAGGATGTTCAAAAAGGAGGCAACAAGAACCTTAAATATGAGTTTCTAGGTTTTAGATGACGTAAGTCGGTGGCACACACGGCTTTACACATGGTCGTGAGTGAAGCCATATCTTCATAATTATCGGACACCGGTTGTTCACAAAACTTTAACACAAGCCGTGTGTAAAGCCGTGTGTCTTTGGCGCAAAGTTATTGTCCTTGTTCGTGTTTACACACCACTACACACACGGCATGTATGAAGCCATGTGTACCTGGCAGTTTCCCAGAATGCTAATTGTTCAAACATGACTTAAGATATGGCGTGTCTATAGCTGTGAGTACACATCAGAGGCTGTTTGTGCTTGGTTCTGTCTCCAAATTCCTCCTTTCCTCCTCCCTTGACCATTATGATTTATGAGTTTCTATCTGATAAACCAAATTATTCACAACCCAAATTACTCACAACCCAAATTACTCACAACAAATTCACTGAATTATGCTAAAAAGTATATAAACATCTTTTCTACATGCATTAAAGCATGTTGGAATGCGAGCATATCATGTACCCACTTTCACAAAAGCCTTTTTGTGGTCTCATTTTGAAACTTTGTACTACAGAAAGAAACTTATATCCCTTTAAAAAATTATAATTGTACTACGTATATAATAACCAATTATAAACCAATAGCTTATGGTTCCATACTTATTTTCCTTTTGAAGCATTGTTTACATATATTTCTATTAATCTATGTTGTCATATGCTGCATTTGAGTTTCCATATTAGTGATTTTTGTTTTTGATACAGGACATTACTTTTGATTACTCCGTATTTTTCATTATCATTACGCCTGATGATTTTCCTTTAAAGATGGGAGAAGTATTTGGAATCTAGTGCATCCTCCCTCAGTACTTACTTATCACTTCTAAATTCTAATATAGTTTAGTGAACCAAAACAAGACTATATCGGTGTAAAACTTTGAGACATGTTCTATTCTAGACTACTCTATTAGCAGTCTGGTCATTATATTTGAAAATTAAATCTTAGTGAAATCTAATGAAATCACACGATCAGAAAATTAATTATCTAGTGAAATAATTTTTTTGATGGTTTAATTGCTTTCAGGGAATAATGTCTCCCCAGCTTTCATCCCTGTTATTTCTTGTGGTGGGTATTTCAATGGCAATAACACCATGGCTGGCTGCTGGAGGTCAATTAATAGCATCTCGCTTTGAACTTCAAGATGTGCGGAGTTTGTTACCTGTAGAAGCTGAGGTGAGCCATCTAAACCATTTTCTAATTGAACTGATTCTCTTTCTATATTTTGCTGCTGAAAGTTTCTTTGCATGTTTTCAGACAGATGATCTTCAAGACCATATTATTATTTGTGGATATGGACGTGTAGGCCAGGTATTGTGCTTTCTTCCTTTAGTTCGTGATTTTTTAATAACTAAATGTGAAGTTTAGCTTGTAGTGTTGTTTACATAGCCACTGTGCCTGCTCAAAGTTGTGTTTTCCTTAATCTTGTCATTTCATATTATCATTGTAGATCATTGCCCAGCTTCTGTCTGAACGACTGATTCCATTCGTCGCTCTTGATGTTAGAAGGTATTAATAGCAATGTCTTTCTTTTTCATTTGATCAAATTGACCACCAATTTTTTACTGATGGATTTCCAAATCCCAATCACACTTTGTGATTGGAACCCACATTTGTACATTCACTTGCACTGTAGGACTACTCATTTTCAAATTGCTTTCCTCTCGTTGAGCAATTCTGTTCAATGGAAGTACTTAAAAAACTGGTTCAATTCGTTATTTTTTAACTAGCACAACTCCTATGTTTAGATGGAATTAGTTTTGTAGTACTTCAAAATTAAATCAACTCTTATACATGAAAAAAAGGATGAAGATTTTAAATGTTTTGTAGGTTTGTTTTTAGTATTATAAATGCACAGAATATCACAAGACTCATGACCTTCTACATTTCTATTTCATGTGATCCATTGGATTTAGAAGAAAAGTGGATGAATTACTGACCATCCTGTTATTATGTTTTTGTGACTGATGCCTGGTGAAGAGATTTACTCTTTTGCCCCCCATGCTAAATGTGCAACATCTTGACTTCTTGTGATGAGTGATTGTTAAGCTAATGCAATCAGCCAATCACAAAATATGGATTCATGTCATGGAATGCCGTGTAAAACACACAATTGAATATTGAGATTTTTCATTGAATATTACTGAAACATAACTCATGGACAAAAGTATTACTATAGTTACTATGCATAGTCACTATAGTGTAGAGTTTAACACAATCACTAAAGTTATTATGAGTTATGACAGTCACTTAAGTATAAAAAGTCACATTTTTGTCCACTACCTTTATTTCAGTCATATGTATGTCATTAGAACGATAAATCATTGTAATTAGGAATCTGATTTCTTTATGATAATTCGATGTACCAACAAATATAATGAGAAATGATACTTACTGAGACAACAATGTTGTGTTTGACGTAAAGGAGTCTTGCATGCATTTATTCTTAATGCCTGACATCTATTCTTAACGCCTGGCACGTGAATCATGTGGATTCTTTAAATATATAGGTGCCATGTACTACAGTTTAGTAGTTAACGACTTGACATCGATTGTGAAATTATTTGCATGTAGTTTATTTAAGACTTCAATTACTGTATGTTTGAACTATTGTGCTTTTTCAGCGATCGTGTCTCAATTGGACGAGCTCTTGATCTCCCTATATACTTTGGTGATTCTGGTAGTCGAGAGGTAAAAGCTAATATCAGAAAACACATGCAAGAAAAGAGTAATGTGGCAACTGCTACACACCTATAGCTACTTTCACCCTATTTTCATCTCAGGTACTCCATAAAGTAGGTGCTGAAAGAGCTTGTGCTGCTGCAATAACGTTGGACAGTCCAGGTGCAAATTACAGAACCGTGTGGGCACTGAACAAGTATTATCCCAATGTAAAGACTTTTGTACGAGCTCATGATGTTGATCATGGCCTCAACTTGGAAAAGGCTGGAGCAACTGCGGTATCTTTCTTCCTCAACTTCGTGTTATGAATGATGTTTGTAAATCCATTTATTTTTGCATGTTAGCAAGTTTCGCTTCGTTTTGTTGTGGGTTTTGCACTAAAAGAATTAGTTTTTTGCTACTGCAATTGTGAAGTAGGTAAAGTTCAGTTTGTCACCCATAAAAAGTAATAAGGAGAATACACTTCCTTGTTGGTTTTATGAAGTAGGTCATACAATGTGCTATGTAATTTTTTATAGGTTGTGCCAGAGTCCCTTGAACCAAGTCTCCAGTTGGCTGCTGCAGTCCTTGCACAAGTAAGTAATTGCAACAAGAGAGCTATGTCATTTGAGTTGCTAGATATAACCTACTCCATATGTTTCTATAAACTTTGCTATATTTGACTTGCACATAGAATATGAAAGTAAAAATTTATATAGTTGAGGTTTGCACAGAAGAGAGATAAATAATAAATCACAAATGTTTTTCAAGGAAAAATGACAAACTGTTTGGGATAGCCAAATAAGTAAGTTGGTCAAGTATTGTGGGAGAGGAGTATGTAATACTGCATAATATGTATTAGGCATAAGTTAATGACTTTTATTACTAGTAAAGTAGTAATGCTTATTACTTTGTGAAACAAAAAAAATACTTCTGTTTGTGTTTAGAAGTGTTGCTTTTTGAACAAAATTTCATTGGAATTTTACACAAGTATTTTTGTTTGTTTTATGTCATTAGATTCCTCATTTTCATCATCATTTTCATTTACCCCATTGCCGCAAAGGCTCCCACCTACGGTGGGGTAGGGGGGGGGTCGGATGTACGCAGTCTTGTCCCTGTACTAAAGCATAGAGAGACTGTTTCCGGATGACCCATAGTGAAAATCGCGTCCAAAATTGCATGGACTGACTGCAGCTTCATAACAAAGAAGTGCAGACAGTTTAGTGAACCATTTTGCTTTATTCCATCATATTCTCAAGCCAAAAAATAATGAATCTTTGGCTCTATTGCAAATGAATATTCTCAAGCCAAAAATAATCATCAGATTCCTGCACTAGTTAAATACTGTGTAGCCAATGAAATTATTTATTTATTTTTTATTATCAGGCCAAACTGCCAATGTCAGAGATAGCAACAACAATCAACGAGTTTCGGTCCCGCCATCTATCTGAGCTAACCGAGGTATGATAATGTTTTGACCAATTAGTCTTGTATTAGATGAAGTGTCGGTTTCGAGTTTGGATAGGTATGCAGTCTTTATGCAGAAAGTTCTTAGGATTAAATATCAGTTGCTTGTATTTCACAGTTGTGCCAAACCACTGGGAGTTCTCTTGGTTACGGGTTTTCTAGAGTTGTAAATAAAGCCAAATCTCAGCCCTCAGACTTTTCAGACGAGGCAGAAGGTACATTGGCGATTTAACTCCGTTTTCTACATTGTTTCGTAGCTAGAAAAAAAAACAATAGAAAGAAATGGAATGGAGAACACACTATTGAGGATTCCGTGCATACTCTACTTGTCTCACCCATGCTATATAGATAGATGTACAGTAAACACGAACTTTGTGGGGGTGAAACACGACATCAGATGGGGCTTGAATTTGGAAAAGTTTACCCATCTTTCTGTAGTTTTACAGTGTAATGATCCCTTTCAATTCACATGCCTCATTATACTTGTAAAGAAAGACGGTCTGCTCTGATTTTTGTTAAATTTAGTATGTGATCCTTTTCATTTGGAAGAAAATTATGCCCATTCTGATAATAGTTACTACATTATATTTAAAAGAATCTATGACTTGTCTTGGATAAAAAGTAAACATATTTACTCCCTCCGTATTTTAAACTTTGTTACCCTTTCCTTTTGGGATGTATTTAAGAGCTACATTTTTCCCTTTTGGTAAGTTTTCCTCTTAAAAATACCTAGTTATCCTTATTTTTTATACTTGTTACGCTAGTGTAAGAGGATTTCATCTCCTCTTAGACTCCTAGCTACTCCATATAAAGGCTTTTTGCATTGTATCATAATCCGTTGCCAAGCATCAGTTTTGCTTTGGGTTTGGCTTGTTCCAGCCATGTAAACTGAAACATTATTTGTTCCAGGTGTGTGAGGCTAATGAGTGGTGCCCACGTGTGGTCCGCTTAGGCAGCGTCACGTACTCACGTGTTAAAACACTTACCTATATACGTACATAGTGGTGTAGTTAGGGGCTCGATGAGACTGGACCAGTATAAAGATATTTTTTAGGAAAATTTTAACATAAAAAAATTATACACTAATATTTAAATATGAGGATATCACACTTTCAATTAATCCCTCAAATAGTATCCACATTGAAACGCAATTCATATCCGTCTAAGTTTGTAAGTGTGGCCCCCAATTGTTCCAATTGTTGTAAATGTAGTTCTTTTTAGCGCTGACATATGCACACTTGAAAACACGGGAATTACATTTCAAGGTGTGCACTGTTTGAGGGATTGAAAGATTGATTTCCCGAATAACATTTTTAAAATTGGAGGTAGGATGGGGCATACCATATATAGCCCCTAGCTCCAACCATGTATATACACTAATAATAAGAAGAATCTCGTAAAATGGAGCTATGTGCAAGCTGTTAACTTGCATAGGCCTGCATGAACTGCTAAAGCTAGAATTGGTGTTATGGGCGAGTTGGTAGTGCAACTTAATACGCAGAAGTTTCAAGGCTTCAAAGTTTCATAAAGGTTGGTTTTGGCTTCGAAATCATTTTTCCACATTGGGAGAAGTGAATATTCCTCTATCCACGCACACTAGTAATGTAAAATGTGATCAAATCTTATTTACACGTAAAATAATAAAATAAAAATTGTATAATTGGTACTACCTTCGTCTCATTTTATGTCTCATTTGATTTTAGTACAATTTTTAATCAAGTGGTTGAAAAAGTAAAAGTTGTGGTTGAAATTTGAGTATAATAAAGTGAAATGTTGTTGACTACATATTTTTTTCCAAAAAAGGAAATGTGACACTTATTTTGGGACAACCCAAAAGGGAAAGTAAGACAGATAAAAATGGATGAAGGGAGCATTTGTATAAAAGAAAGAAAAATAATTTAATCGTGCATTTGTTACATTAGACGGTAATGATAAGGTTTTTGGAACAATCAAATAAGGAAAGTTGATGAAGTTTTGTAGGACAGAACGAGTATTACATAGACAAGAGATCTCATTTCTATGTCAAGTTTATTATATTCTGGGTATTGCGTGTGTAAACCAGAGTAAAGTATTTTTCAACTCACAACAAATTTATGTGCTTAATGGGCGTGTGAGGTTTTGCTTAGTCCAGTAGAACACACCCATAACTGTTATTTCTTTTCCCGTCTCCTTTTTCTTTTTCATTTGAGCGTAAATCTGGTTGACGACACTTCAACAGTGTGTCCCATTAATTTACCACCATAGCTTTGTCCCGTAAACCACTGCTTTTGGTGCACATCCATGACCGTTACTTTCTTTTCCATCTCCTTTGTCTTTTCTCATTTGAGCGTAATTTCGATTGATGACATTTCATTAGTGTGTCATGTGTATCCCCCATTAAATTTACCAACATACCTTCGTCCCGTAAATCAATGCATTTGGTGTGTTTTGGAACAAACTATAAGATCAATACTAGTTTCTTTTTCCATCTTCTTGCTTTTCTATTTGAACGTAAATCATGTTGATGGAATCTCATCAAAGTGTAACATGTATATCTCGTTATGTAATTTATTATGGCCATGTTCGTGTCTCTTAAGTGGGTACTTTTTGCTTGTTTTATAACACACTCAAAACTCAAAAGATATTCATTACTACTTGTTTCCATTTTCATCTTTTTCGTCAGTTGAGTGTAAATCTGATTGATGGCATCTCATCAAAGTGTATCTCGATGCTAGTTATTTAACTTGCTTGTAGAGAGAATAAAATTGTACAATATCCTCATTCATGAGCATCTCCAAATCAATCTTTCAAATTAGAATTAAATAATAAATTTTTATTCAATTTTTATTCAATATGAAATTCAAAATGATTTTCTACTTCCTTAGAAAACAATGCCCGTTTGAGTAAGGACCGGGTCGGCAAACAAGAATAGTCTTTCAACATTTCAATAATTGAATAAAAAATCCAAATAAAATAAAATCAAACATATATGTCCCGAGATACCACTATAAAACTTTGATAAATAATACTACAAATGGAATTGGAATTCAAAGAATCAAAGGTCATGTACCATTATATTTGGTTCTGATTCAAAACTTGCTTATTTGACTTGATATCCTTTTATGTATATGGTATTTTTAATTCGTTTATGATGAGCTATACTCGAGACCATGAACTTATATTGAATAATCACAGAAAGTTATGTCATTTATTGTGTGAAAAAGCTGAAATGGTCCATTTATATTTTTTTCTTCCCAAAATGGGTATTACAACTTTACAAGTCGTTTTTTAACTAAGCTAAGGGATGTTTAAAAATGTGCTGTATGATGTGTCTGCATTACTAACATCTAAACCACATATCTAACCTTTCTTTACAAAAAACAACCTATTACACAGTACACACCAAAGCATGCATTTTCGTACTATCCACGAATCATACGGTTTCATGTGGTTTGTATCTTCACTACTATAAGATGAATTTTACAATTTACATATATGTTACATATTCGCTACTGTCACATACACTCTTACTCGTATAGAACCCGTTTGGTAGCACGAAAATCGGCTGTTTTGGCTGATTCTGGTGAAATTTATGAAGTTATGGCCGAAGTGGCTCTGTGGCGGTATTGATTGATTCTGCTTATTTATTAAAAAAATATATTTAAAATATTTATATTAATGAAATAAAGAAAAACTTACATGAAAAGCTACAATAGTCATCTGCAGTAACTTCAGCCAATATAGCCAGAAAAGTAATATAACCTTACTTTTTCCGCTTATTACTCAATTCAGCGCGCGAAAGCAAAAGTTACGTGTTTGGTGAAAAAGTTTGTGATAAGCCTAATAAGCCGAAAAACAGTGGTTCCAAATGGCCTCATATATAATCCTTCCCAATTTTAATTCTTACTTATTTCCCAATTTTTACTTTTTAATTATCCATCTCCTATATATTCAGATCCTCTCTTACCAGATACATATATCACTGCGGCACTTATTTTTTAGCATCAACTTTACCAATAAGTAATTTTCTTAAATCTTACGTAGTATTTTTTAACTCCACGTGTTGAATTATTTAAGGGCAACTTCTTAATTATGAGATTATTAGGAAATAAAGAATATCACAATTTAATAGGAGAGATTAATTATTTGTATCATTTGATAGAAAATTTGATAAATATACGAACTCTGATTATTGTCACCGATTGGTGAAAATCATTTAGATAATCTTGAAAATATTCTAAAAAGTTATTTGAACGGTCTTATACTTCGTATGTTTTTAGTACATTTTTCTTTATAATCTTAAAACACAAATTGTCCTAAATAGGACTAATGAGTTCCTAAAAAGTACAAATAGGATTACTACTTTTTAAATTCCCTAAATAGGACAAAAAAATTGATTTTATGCCCTAAATACCCCTAAGAGTATTAATTTGTAATGAAATGCTTTAATTCATAATAAAATCATAAAAAAATGTAAAAATATTTAAAAAACGTAAAAAAAATTATAAAATATTTATAAAAATTTATAAAATAAAAAAATTAGTTTTTTTTCTAATTTTTTTTAAAGAATAATATAAAATAGTAAAAACCCATAAAAAAATGAAAAAAATTATGGATACCTTTTCTACCGCCTCCCGCCGCCTCCCACCACCACCACCACCTCCGATTGGTGAAATTTCTTCCACTTTTGGTAAAAAAATGCCATCTTTTTCTGAAAATACCAAAAAGATGGCATAATTACTCTTCAATATGCCAACATTTTCATTGAATATGCCATCATTATGGCATTATTTAAAATGTTGGCATATTTTTCTCCGGTGATGGGAGCTGATGGTGCTGGGGTGGCAGGGGTGGTAATGTGTTTTTTTTTTTAATTTTACGATTTTTTTATTTTTATTTTTTTAAATTTTTTTAAAAAAATATTTTTTTTAATTTTTTTTAAATTTTTTTTATTAATTTTCTATTATTTTGTTTATGATTTCTAGTATTTGTTTCGATTTTTATTAATTTTTTATGATTTTATTATTAATTAAAACATTTCACAAGTTACAAGGGTATATTTGTCCAAGCACACATAAATAGTCCTATTAAGGGAATTTAAAAAATGTAGTCCTATTTGTGCAATTTTGCCACTTTTTAGTCCTATTTAGGGAATTGACTCATCTTAAAAAGAGTGTCTAAATGTAAACTTTGTAGTTGATATCGTTGAGAAAAAATTATCAAAATTATACTCCGTATAAAATAGTGAAAAGAAAGAGACACAAGTGTCATTGATTTGTTTTTATATGTGTACTAGTTTTCTATACGCGCGTTGCGCGACTAAACAAAATGCCCAATTCTTATATATATTGAAAAATGTATATTATATGTTGATTTAATAGAGTTGTTAGTACTTGACATGTTAAAATTTGTGTGAACTTAAAAATTAAGTATTTAATATGCTTTTATCATGAAAGAGGACACAAAAATAAAATAAAAAATTCAAATTCAAATAACAGCTAAACTTTACTTTTCTAATTCCTTAAGAAAAAGTATCATTAACAAAGTGAGAAATATCTAATACATACCTTGATATTGATGGTTGACATTCCATCTAATATGAGACTTTCAAATGATGATGTAGGGGACGAAACAAAAAGGTACATTAATATAAGAAAAAGAGGGAAAATGTCAAATACAC